CCGGACGGATATTGACCTTGATCATGATAAATATGAATGAGAATTAGCTTTTGGTTATGAAGATATGATCATGAGTTGTTTTTCGTAAAATTTTACAAAATGGCGCCTAGATGACGTCATCAGTAAAGGTCAATGTTGAAAACATTATTGTGCTTTGTACATATGCCTATAAATATGTGTGCCAAATTTGAAGGCATTTGATTGAGCCATTTTCAAGTAATCGTGCTTACAAAAAAGTAGTTAGATGTAAGAAAAATAAATAAATAAACTAGATTTGTAATACTTGTTTTGAACAAGTATAGGTGGGCTTTTTCAATTAAAATGTAAAGGGCACATTAATGTGATAGTTTATTGTCTCAGCTACAACATACTCGAAGCTCAGCGAAAACGAAGCTAAAACGACAGAGATATTGCTCGCGAAAGACGGGAATGTAGAATCCAATTTTGAGAAAAAATCATGTCACATAGAGAATACACGCAAAATGTGAAAAATTGACATGCCTCCTTTAATCGCAAAAAAAACGCCATGATCCCTTTGTCAAAATGAAAAATCGGGAGACTGTATTTGTGGAGAATTGTCTCAGCTAGAACATAACAAAATTTGGAAAAAAAATCGATCAATATTTACAGAGATACAATCAATTTTTCCAAAAATATGCTGACGTCATAATATGCAAATTGAAATTATGAGTTCGGAGGCCATTATGATGACGTCATGAGTTAATTGAGGGTCAAATGAGACATGAAATCATATCTCCGATTCATACTTATGGTGGCCCTGAAGGGACATCGCGAATAGACTAAATCGTGAAAAATATGCGATAAAATTCACGATATCGTCAATTTTATCGCATATTTTTCACGAAGAAATTCACGAAATTGACGATATCGTGAACTTTATCGTGAACTTTTCACGATGAAATTGACGATATCGTGAATTTTATCGTGAAAAGTTCACGATATAAAGTTCACGATATCGTCAATTTTATCGTGTACTCTATCGTGTACTCTATCGTGTACTCTCCTGACGGGCGCTTCGTAAACAAAACCAGCCCTAGCTGGGGGAGACAGAGAGAAGGAAAAAAGGGAAAGGGAAAGAGAAGATAAAAGGAAAGAAAGAATAATAAGAAGAAAAGAGGGAAACGGGGGGGGGGCGAAGGGCTCTTGCCTCCCCCTCACTCCCCCCCCCCCCCGCCAAAAAATAAATAAGGAGAGAGAGAAGGGAAAGGGAAAGGGAAAGAAAATATAAAAGGAAAGAAAGAAGAGGAAGAAGGAAAGAGGGAAACGGGGGAAGGGCGAAAGGCTCTTACCTCCCCCCCCCCCCGCCAAAAATAAATAAGAGAGAGGAGGGAAAGGGAAAGAAAATATAAAAGGAAAGAAAGAAGAGGAATAAGAAGGAAACGGGGGAACGGCGAAGGGCTCTTGCCTCCTCCCTCCCCACCCCCGCCAAAAAAATAAATAAGAGATAGAGAGAGAAGGGAAAGGGAAAGGGAAAGAGAAGATAAAAGGAAAGAAAGAAGAGGAAGAAGAAGAAGAAAAGAGGGAAACGGGGGCGAAGGGCTCTCGCATCCCCCCGCCCAAAAAATAAATAAGAGAGAGAGAGAGAGAAGGGAAAGGGAAAGAGAATAAAAAAGGAAAGGAAGAAGAATAAGAAGAAAAGAGGGGCTCTTGCCTCCTCCCCCCTCCCGCGCCAACAAATAAATAGGAGAGAGAGAGAGAGATAGAGAGAAGGGAAAGGGAAAGGGAAAGAAAATATAAAAGGAAAGAAAGAAGAAGAAGACGGAAAGAGGGAAACGGGGGAAGTGCGAAAGGCTCTTACCTCCCCCTCCCCCCTCCCGCCATAAAGGGAAAGAGAAGGGAGAGGGAAAGAAAATATAAAAGGAAAGAAAGAAGAGGAAAAAGAATAAGAAAAGAGGGAAACAGGGGCGAAGGGCTCTTGCCTCCTTTCTTTTCTTTCTTTTCCTTTCTTTCCTATTCTCCCTCTTTTTCGTTTTTCTCTTTCTTTCTTCTCTTTCCCTTTCCTTCTCTCTCTCTCTCTTATTTATTTTTTGGCGGGGGCGGGGGGACGAGGCAAAAGCCCTTTGCCCCCGTTTCCCTCTTTTCTTCTTCTTCCTCTTCTTTCTTTCCTTTTATCTTCTCTTTCCCTTTCCCTTTCCCTTCTCTCTCTCTCTCTGATTTATTTTTTGGCGGGGCGGGGGGCAAGAGTCCTTCGCCCTTCCCCCGTTTTCCTCTTTTCTTCTTCTTCCTCTTCTTTCTTTCCTTTTATCTTCTCTTTCCCTTTCCCTTTCCCTTCTCTCTCTCTCTCTGATTTATTTTTTGGCGGGGAGGGGGGGGGGGGAGTGAGGAGGAGGCAAGAGCCCTTCGCCCCCCCCCCACCCGTTCCCCTCTTTTCTTCTTATTATTCTTTCTTTCCTTTTATCTTCTCTTTCCCTTTCCTTTTTTCCTTCTCTCTGTCTCCCCCAGCTAGGGCTGGTTTTGTTTACGAAGCGCCCGTCAGGAGAGTACACGATAGAGTACACGATAGAGTACACGATAAAATTGACGATATCGTGAACTTTATGTCGTGAACTTTTCACGATAAAATTCACGATATCGTCAATTTCATCGTGAAAAGTTCACGATAAAGTTCACGATATCGTCAATTTCGTGAATTTCTTCGTGAAAAATATGCGATAAAATTGACGATATCGTGAATTTTATCGCATATTTTTCACGATTTGGTCTATTCGCGATGTCCCTTCAGGGCCACCATACATACTCTATCAAAATATGAACAAAAAATTGGGGTCACCTTGCATCCTAAAGAGCTACGATGGATTTTGTATAGGCATGTTTTTGCCCGTATATGCTATGTATTACAAGAGCTCGCTCGCACGGAAAAATTTGTTAAACGGTCGATCATTCCGTTATTAATAGTCATAAAGAGACAAACATGGTATCAATTTGTTTGTAAATATATGTGGAATATTATGAAAGAAAAACAAATGGCGATTCTATGTTGTGCATTAGTTTTACGCGCGAAAACGCGCACCCCTTTTGCGTGTGCCCAATTTTTTTTTTTTATAAAATGCTTAGAATGGCCTAAAACGTATGCAAAATGATTTTGAGACGATTTTAAGCATTTCGAAATTTTGCGCACATCTTTCGTAAACTGCCCAGTAAGTTAATTTCGAGAGGAAACTAATGGCGATTGTACCTTGGATATTTTCTTTAAACTCTGATTTTCTTAGAGCAGTATTGATGCTGGTCATTACAGATCTCATAGATTAATACTATATGTATTAGATATATTTACAGGGATTAAAGGCCAAGTCAACTCCAATTTTCAAAAATGATAGCATGTTGTAAATAAATCAAAGGTTAAAAATCCCAAATATCAGCGTTAGTACTTCAATCAGGTGTTTGCTTCCCGTTTAATCCTGTTTGGACCATTGGAAATTAACCCAAAAATAAGTTATTTACTTTATTAATGAACCATTAAGGTATTTCAACATGCTTGCAAGGTATAATAATTTTGAGAAAGCAAAAGTTTCGAAAATGTGTACTTTACCAATTCTTAATAAATTCAATTGCCCTTTTATTTTCGCAAGAACATTTCGTAATTGTGAAAAAAAGGCACTAGGGGAGTAAAATATGTCCACGCCGAGAATAGTTAGAGACTTCTCAAACTGGATATTTTCTAGTGAATGTTGATTATGTCAAGCAGCTCCTTTCAATAATGTCTTCGTTTTGATAGCGATGATTACTGTCGGAATCTTTACAGCTTGGCTAAAATGTGGGTAAGTGACAAACTGTCCGAAAGAAAAAACCTGTTATGTGATCAGCGTGCAATGACGTTTTTAATTCTGTACGCTATTATTTTCGAACCATGTTTCGCTTCGTCTGGTCGAATATTAAAAGCAAGCGTTTCTATATCTAAGAAAAATAATTATGGAGCCAATGGGTCCCCTTGTCTTATCCCCATTCAACCAGAAAACAGCCATATGAAACACCCCTATTCATCACGCAACTCTCTAAATTGGTATATAAAACCCTAAAATAGTTACAGAAAGATCATCCAAAGTTCAAAGACTGGAACACTTAAAGCGAATCAAACGCCTCTTGGATACTTAGATTAAAAGAATATCCGGAATATTTTAATAATTAGAAAAGAAAAGAGCGCCTTTTACTGTCCGAACAGCTTATACAAGATATCTATCCTTCAAAAATGCTTCTTGATCAGGGTGGATCAAATCGGGTCAAACTTTCTTCATTTTTTCTGTCAGTGCTTTCGAACCGATCTTCAAGTCCACATTCACAAGATTAATTGGTCGATAATTTCAATCAACATTCTGTCTTTCCTTTGTTAGATATCAGTGCTATTAGACCCTGGCCGATGTTCATATCTAACCCAATTCGCACAATCTAATCATTGTAAGCATATTACTTGTACGTAATTTTCACGAATTTTGTGTCGTCTCTCCTTCCTCTTCATGTGAATATGCCATTACAAGCTCACGTATATCGCACATGAGAAGATGGCGATGATTCACAGCACTTTTAAAAATGGCGCCAATTTTCTGTGAAAAAAAAACATTAAATGGCGGTAATGTTATATTCGTATCGTTTACTAAAGCAATTTTTAATACAGATAACAATATTTCCATACCGGTGGCATTTTCTTTAGCAGTCAAGGAGTATAAAGTTTTCTGCAAATGTTAATTTGCAAATGAAAAAACATCTAAATGCGTTAGCATGATAATATCGTTTACTAACTCATCTTATCCCTATCTATGTGTGTCGTAACAGGACTGCTTATTGTAGTATCTGGAAGCGTATCTCTGATTTTTGTTCGGTTAATGATGCTCAAGACATCCCCTGACCAAAGCATCAAGAAGCTTCTCTTGCACTTCGTTTTCTCAGTCGCCTCTTCTCATAAAGCTCGCTCACTGCTCCCAAAATTTCGTGAGACCCTTAAACGACCCGGTTACTACCAAGAACGCATCCTGCTCGATATCCTCAGAGACAACAAGGACACTGCGTATGGTAAGGACTACGGTCTGGTCTCTATGCGGAACATCAAGGACTTCCGCAGCAAACATCCTCTAACCAAATACGACCATTACCGCCCCTACGTGCAACGCATGATGGACGGGGAAGGTAGCGTCCTGACGGCGGTGAGACCGAAGTCTTTCACTCGTACTTCAGGTACGACCGGACAACCAAAGTACTTCCCGATAGTAGATAGACAAGGTATCCTAATGGACATATCATCAGTCGTAACGGGATTGCTCCAAGAGGCGTTTCCTGTTCTTGGACCGCTACAGAAACGATTGCAGTATTACGTTCATCCGGTGATATCTCGCTCTAAGGCTGGTGTACCAATAGAATCGGCGCTCACGATCCCAGCAGACAACGCCCTCCTAATGTCAATCTTCAACACACCCCCGGCTGGCTTCACTATCCTGACAGCGTATGAAGCCACTTATATTCACCTGCTGTTTGCACTGAGAGACAAATCTATAGGTAAAGTATAGCGCCAATTGGGCTAGAATACCAGTCATATTAATGTACTGGATCGAAAGGGGAATTTTTAAATACTAAATTACAGTCCATTAGATAAACTCCAGTTCCGGTAAAAAATAAAAAAAAATTCTCACAGAATCAAACGAAACTTACACTGAATGTTCAAAATTACAAATAAATGACATGTGCCAAACAATTTTGGAAGAAAATGTATACTGGCTGAGTAATGAGCATAGAAAGACAAGGAAGTCAAGGTAGTACTAGCCCCGACACCATGTGTGTTGTCCCATATGTAGCTTTCTGTGTACAGTTCTTGTTACTTTACCAAGACTCGATCAAATTTATTATGATTTTGATGACTCCAGAACCTTGCAGTGCACACCAATACGTACATGCTACATGATCAACTGTTTCTGATCCTTTCCACACCTTTTCTTTCACAATGCAATCGCATTACCAGTACTAAATTTTATCTTTAAATATGAGTAAATAAATTTTATTTCAATTGAGCTATATGGAAACATGATAAATACAATAGACAATGAACCCACGTTAATAATATTCCAAGATACACCTGATAAGTGAGTTTCAAGCCTAAGAAATTCAGTATTTCATAGGGGTAATAAATTCAAATCTATCAATAATAAAACGAAGATTAATAATTCATAAAGATGTGATGTACTTGCTTTATAGGAATAATCGCTTCTAACTTCGTAACCTTCTTTGAGACGATGTTGGTACAGCTGGGGAATTGTTGGCAAGACATCGTTGAAGACATCGAACACGGGACCATCCTGTCTTCTCTCAATCTCGACGCAGGAATCCGCGAGCAGCTTTCCCGTGAGCTGGAAGGAAAGGGCGACCCCATTCGGGCGGAGGAGTTGAGGAAGGAATTCAAGAAGGGTTTCGAGCACATAGTCCCTAGGGTGTGGCCTCACGTCAAAGTGATCATGGGCGTAGACCCACAGGACACCAGATTTCGACTTGCAAGGAAGTATACAGGAGGTGGGTACAAAGAAGAAGAAACAAAATCAAGTTTTAATCAATCAAACGTAAATTTGAAACTCCACGGTGTGACCTTTTGAGCACTCTCATCTGTTTACTTTGCCCGATTTTGCTGCAATACCCATCGGTGTAAGTGTTAAAATGTTCTTTGAGCGAGCGCGGACACAGTGCTTTTTGTCTGCAATTCCCAACTGATTGAAAATTTCAGTCCTTTTTCCGTCAAAGATAAACAGACAGTGTCTCGGATTTTCCGTAATGTTTTAACCAACCTTTACTCGATAAAAGGATAAGGTAAGAATTCTTGGTAGATTTGTGTTTGAATTCGGCGTATGAAAGGGATATCGACTGCTTAAATACTCGAGAACTGGCTGTTTCTATACTGGCTCTTGGGAAATTTGCCTCCGCTGCTATCACCCCTCGGCGCGCCACCCACTCAGGCGCGCCTCGGAGTAATAGCAGCGGAGGCAAATTTCCCTTGAGCGTATAAAAACAGCCAGTCCTCTCGTAGCAGTCAATATCTCTATAATAGGGACTTTTAGATTTGCGTGGACTGATACGTGTGACGTCCATTCAAGGCAGTGCATTAAAAGGACGTCGATCGTAGCATAGACCTATTGTCTTCGTGCGAATCTAAAACTCCCTACTGTAAGCATGCGTGACCCCCCCCCCCCCCCCCCCAATACAGTAAGGGTTAAGGGGTTCAAAAACGTCCATTTTGGGACATTTTGACGAAAAAGAGTACTCCTTCAAAATGATGCAAAATCCCGCTCTACGCGCCCGTATACGTTTAAGGGTATTTTTCTAGCCCTCAGGGCCAAAAAGGGGTAATAATTCGTCGTGTTAAGTTTGCTCATAGTATGGACGACGACCGCGAGAGGGAGCTTATAATGAGTGCGAGTCGGTTTGAAACGATCTTAAGATCTTCAGTAGATCAAGACGGATGCCTACGATACCGACCAAGACCTACCGAGTCTCACGCCCATATAGCTGATCCCTTATATTTTGTTTTGCAAAGTAGAATAGTAACTATTCACTGTACACTGTGCACTTTTTGTAAACACTACATGTACTTTATATAAAAATAGATCAAATTTGAAATGTAATTCTTTTATTTTTTCAAAGAAAGGACTTATGAGGGCTGTGCATTAAACCCGTTTAGAAATTTACAGGTGGATGCTATTGCTTCTATATTGAAATAATGTTTTACATTGTGAATTTACCATCAGAAGCGCAATTTGAAATATTTTACATTGTCAACAACTTAAATGGTAATCCTATCGCTCTTCAAAATGCTCAAGGGTTAGTATTTTACAATACTTGTTTAGGAGTACACCTTTTTTGAATTACCCGTAATCATGGTGTGAATTCAGGAAAGAAAACCACGCGAAATCCTCATTTAGGTTTCAGAAGACATCCTCGTTTAGGGAGTGTCTGGAAAACCTGTTGTCACGCATGCTTACAGTATTTCTACATGACTGAGATCCCCGGATTACTTTGTACTGAAACTTTCATGAATTTCAATCTTGCAGGTGGTGAATGTAGGGGTTTCTCCTTTTTTAATAGTAGTCGTGGAAGTAGTAGTAGTAGGAGGAGGAGGTAGAAGAGGATGAGCAGTAATAGAAGTAGTAGTAGTTCAAATAGTAGTAGTAGTAGTAGTAGTAGTAGAAGTAGTAGTAGTAGAAGTAGTAGTAGTAGTAGTAGTATCAGTAGTAGTAGTGGTAGTAGTAGTAGCAGTAGTAGTAGTAGTAGTACTCTTTATATATCAATACGAAGATCAATACTATGTACTGGCGGTTAGACATTATTTTCATTTTGTATTCGAATATTTCCTCAGGTGTTGTCTTTTTATGCCTCCGCCACCGAAGGTGGTGCCGGAGGCATCATGTTTTCGGGTTGTCCGTCCGTACGTCCGTCCCGTTTGACCGTTATCACAATATCTCAAGAACCATTTAAGATTTAAACTTCAAACTTAAGGATAGTATGTATCACCATAGGAAGACGATCTGATTAGATTTTGGAGTACGTAGGTCAAAGGTCACAGGTCACAGAGGTCAACTTATGAAATTCCTTGTATTGACTTTGTTAGCGCGATATCTCAAGAACCATTTAAGATTTAAACTTCAAACTTAAGGATAGTATGTATCACCATAGGAAGACGATCTGATTAGAGTTTGGAGCACGTATGTGAAAGGTCAAGGGTCACAGAGGTCAACTTATGAAATTCCATACATTGAGATTGTTATCATGATATCTCAAGAACCACTGGAGATTTAAACTTCAAACTAATAGTGATAGTGTGTATCACTATAGGAAAACAATCTGATTACATTTTGGAGCACGTATGTCAAAGGTCAAGGGTCACAGAGGTCAACTTATGAAATTCCATACATTGAGATTGTTATCATGATATCTCAAGAACCACTGGAGATGTAAAAACTTCAAACTTAAGGATAGTATGTATCACCATAGGAAGACGATCTGATTAGATTTTGGAGCACGTGGGTCAAAGGTCAAGGGTCACAGAGGTCAACTTATGAAATTCCATACATTGAGATTGTTATCATAATATCTCAAGAACCACTGGAGATTTAAACTTCAAACTTAATGATAGTGTGTATCACCATATAGGAAGACAATCTGATTAGATTTTGGAGCACGTAGGTCAAAGGTCAAGGGTCACAGAGGTCAACTTATGAAATTCCATACATTGAGATCGTTATCGCGATATCTCAAGAACCACTGGAGAATTTTCACTTCAAACTTAATGATAGTATGTATCACCATATCATAATATCTCAAGAACCACTGGAGATTTAAACTTCAAACTTAATGATAGTGTGTATCACCATAGGAAGACAATCTGATTAGATTTTGGAGCACGTAGGTCAAAGGTCAAGGGTCACAGAGGTCAACTTATGAAATTCCATACATTGAGATTGTTATCATGATATCTCAAGAACCACTGGAGATTTAAACTCCAAACTTGTTTAATTTATATTTCACTTGCTATTTCTCATGGCAATTCTAACTAAACAATTATCTTTCAGATATTCCAATATATTCTTACGTAATCGGCGCATCTGAGGGATTTATTGCAATGAACATGTGGCCATTAGAGAAGAGGCTCGGCTATGTTCCTTCTTTTCTTCACAACTTCTACGAATTCATCCCCATCGCTGAACTGTAAGTACCCTGCCAGAGGGAGCCCTTTGCTTTGGGAGTTGAGATCAATCGGGCTAGGGCTGTTCTCATTAAAACGTTCATGCATGGTTGAGCTTCAAAGAAGACACCATTGAATACCCAATAAATAAATTGTAAAATGTTACCCCGACTATGTGGAAGTCCTGTCCACCCTTCCCCTTCATTATCATCGTCATCATCATCGTCATCTTCATCGTTATTATCATCATCATCATCAAAGTTAATGGGTTTTACTGGCTGCAATCAACTTATATTTTTTTGAGTGATTGGTCCCCCACTGGTCCGCTACAAATTTCCGTATTTTGCCTTCTTTTAAAATTCATGTGGTGATCAGAGATGAAGAAGAACCTGCTACCCTCTTACCCCAAGAACTCCAAGTAGGTGAGAGTTATGAGATCGTCATCACATCAAAATCCGGGCTCTATCGGTATCGCATGGGTGACGTCATCAATGTTACACGATTTGAACAGGCAACACCGGTCTTTGAATTCGGATACAGGTTAGGTCTATTTATACACTTTGGGGTGAAGATAGTAATATTGTTATGAATTATACCCCACCCCTGACCCTTTCTCCATTCTCTATCTGTAAATCTCTCTCCCTCTCTTCCCCTCTCATGCCTCTGCCTATGTCTTTCCGTCTCTTTCTTTCTTTCTTTATCTCTCTCTCTCTCTCTCTCTCTCCCCTACTCATGCCCCCTTCCCTTCTCTCTCTGATTATCTTTTTCTATATATATAATCTGGTCTTTGAAGAATCTGTATAAAAATTGCAGCGCGTGTTAAATTTGATTGCAAATGTGTTTGAATATAATTATATACATGTATATGAAAGATTTAGAAAATGTTAGCCACACGATAATGAATTTGAAATAAATAATGATTTCAATAATATCCAATGATTCAAAAATATTATATTACCTCCGTTTGTGTCTGTTTAGGAATGGACAGATGTTGAACTGATTTTTTGAGAAGATTGATCAGAAAGTCTTCTACGACTCGCTCAAGACCGCTATTGATCAGTGGATTGAGGTGGAGTTGACTAATTACGCCGTGGCTGAGAGTACATTGATCGATACAGCCACCCAAGGTATGTTGGAATGCTCTCAATACGTTTTCATAATATAAAAGCCTAGTATGTGACGCGGCGGATAAATTTTTCCTAGGCCTGACAGAAAGAGTTGATGAAGTAAACTAATTGGCCTCGTGATGATGCAGGCTAACATGTCCCGTTAGGTGTAATACAGAATCTTCCCGATTTCAGCAAGCGATGTGCATGGCGATTCGTTGATTATAGCAATCACAGAATAAGACAAAGGCAACTAGTAATATTAGAAATAGTCTACTTACTTAATTATCAGATACAAAACATGCCAGTTGACGTTTCCAAGAAATAGCTGTCACGAATGATACTTTGAAATGAGATGAAATATTAAGGTACTATGAATATTTCCAAATATGGATGAACCTAAATAATGTCAAAATATATTCATGAAAATAACAACGAGTGCAAAGTAAATATACATTTGAATTATTAGGATTATGACTACCGAATTAATTATTAGTTTTATTTATCTGTCTTCCATTTCCAGGAAATGCTGCTCCATGTTATATCCTTTTCATCGAGATAACTGGCAGTGTGACAGTCAGTGAGGATCAAAAGAAAATGGTGAGATTATACGTCTAGCTACCTTTTCTTATTTATCACCCCATTATTTAAATCCGTTCTTTCAAAGCCGTGTCACAACAAAGAGTTTTTATCATTCGTCCTTTGTGCAATGTATGTCATTTCTGCTTAAAGGGTACCGAAGTGTTACGTTAGGAAAGCAAAGATGACAAGGTTGCTGTTTCCAAACAATGTTGTGCTAAACAATACATGGTGTGGTGATCAAACCAGCCTCAAACACTGAATTCCCCTTGCTCCAGCTCGTTGCTTGAATGATTTCGCAGTGGACCTCATGCGCAGTCTCCGTTGTTTAAAACCAGTAACCTAGACGACGAGCAAATATGGTGTTAGCACTTTTGGTACTCTATATCAAGGCATCAATTTTATTGTTGAAGTTGAACCTAAGAGTTATTCTATAGACTTATTCTAATTGTTATCTTAAATAATGGTGATACTTAACGGGAAAAAGATTTTGAAATGTTATTATTATTATTATTATATCATTATTGTTGTATGATTTTTTTTTTTTTTTTTTTTTTTTTTTTTTTTTTTTTTACTATAGATTGACACAGAACTTCGAGGCAGTAACTGTATCTATGACAGACTCCGATCAGATGGTAGGATAGATCCACCGAAGATCCACCTCGTTAGACCAGGAGCGTTCAATAAGCTCCAGCACTACTCGGTCACCAGTGGTGGAGCTTGTGATATCCAGTACAAAGTTCCTAACAAACTGGTCAAGGTTGAACTGGTTGAGATTTTGATGGACCAGGTTTATTAATCACTGATAAAGTGATTAACTTCCATTTCCCCGTTATATACCACTTAGCATGCTTAGGCCTTATTGCTTAGTACATTGTACGCCTTATATTTACAGTTTGTCAAGCTAGTGACTGCTATATCATTAGATGAACGTACCCAGTCATAGTAGTTGGCTACATTTACTTGCTTCCCTTCATGTTGTCAATGATTTCTCGAATCAAACTTCCGTCAATATCAAATTATATAAAGAGGTTTCTCAAGTTATTATATTGTGCAGAGTTATATTATGTTAAATACGGTGAGTATTGTTTGTAAGTTTGTTTGATTTTATTTCTGCATTTTTCAACGATAATAGAAAGTAATGTACGAATTACACTGTAGGTAAATATGAATTAAAATTCATATATAATCATATCATAATTTAAATCAATAATATAATTAAACCTTTTAATAACACAGTTGAGGGGAAGAACTTGTTTTGCTTCAAGGGGAGGGGGGGGGGGGAGAGGAGAACACTCCTTTTTCCAACCTCAACATTCACCCCCCCCCCTCCCCCTTGGAAAACACCCCCTGTTTGCCAAGGGTGGGGGTGTTTGAACAACCGAAACGACCCCTCGATACGCCCTTGACAAGTAGTCCTTAAACCAGGATAGAATTTGCTCTCGAATTCCATATTGTGTCAAGTTCTCGAATCAATATAGCGTGGTTGAGCGTATCAAACACTTTACTTACATCCAAAATATTAATACGTGGTCTTTATTTGCCATTGCACTGGTAATTTTGTCGTATATTTGTATAAATATTTTGTACAATGAGAAAAGATCATATTCCATGTTTTTTTCAAGCTCTTTCTATATATAACAAAATGAAAATGTACATGTTGCATTGAACAGATTTTTCAAACAGGTGTTAAGGTTTATTTTGCTTATTGCCGAGCCTTTTTTTCTTGAGTAGAAACCGAGTGAACAAAACTTTCTTTGCTTCATGTTTGATTTATTTAATACATACAATTTCAGACATCGTAAAGAATATGAATATTCATATCCACTGTCAAAGGGAATATGGTTTATCGATATGTATCAACCGTTTAACAAGCAATTTCAAATAGATTTATGCTATTGCTCAGAAGAAACTAGCATTACCTAAAAAGCTAAACTTCTTGATAAAGAAGAAATCAAACCATGCTCTCGACAGCATAGTGTGGTACGGTATGTCACTGAAACAGCTCCCGTAGGATTTTTGTGCCAAAGTTGATTGTTGTTGTTGTTGCATTCTTGGATTCATTGGGGTCCAAGCTATCAAAAATTGATGGGGTTCAAATTTTCCCGAAGACACCAAATTACCCTATTGCGCGTTATATAAGCCATTTTTGGCGCCCAATAGGGACCCCCCAGGAAATGAAGGCGGGGTCTGAAAATTTGAATCCCATCATTTTTGGCCAATTGGGACCCTTTTGAAGCCAAAACAGCAACTTTGGCACAAAAATCCTACGGGATTACATACCATACCGCACTAGCAGGGGGATTTCATATCTAACATTTCCCCATACCAAAGAAAAATGGTGGTATGCGTTTGATCCTCGATCTTTCAGAATTAAATCTGAATCTTATGAACCAACATTTCAACATGGATTGCATTCATACAGCAACTTATTTGTTGACTCAGAATTGCTATTAAGCCTCAGTCGATCTACAGGATGCTTATTATTCGATCCAAATCAACAAGCATCACAGCAAGTTCTTGAGATTCAAATGAAAAGACAAATGCTGGCAAATTAAAGCCCTATCTAATGGTCTGAGCACGGCACCAAGGATATTCACTAGTATTGTGAAACCAGTGTTTGCCCACTTACGAGAATAGGAACATTAAAAGAGCTTTTAGTCCACTTTTATAATTTCATGTATGGTTCCTCTGCTGCTATCTATATTTGACAATCTTCAAGAACAACAATTTTTCAGCAGAACAAAGTGCAGTCGCACCCGTGGCCACTCACTTAAAGACGCACGTTCCCTGTATTCCAGAGGGCGTTCAAAATAGGTACGCGCTGGCGGACGGTGCTAGCTGCCTATTGACACCAACAGAACACGGCCCTTACGCAAATGGCATGTTCCGAATGCCCGAACAATGCCGACTATCGCATACATGTGCCGAAGTTTAATTCAATGCAATTCAATTCAATACTGGTTCATTATTCAATTTCAAAATACATGCATCGTAATTGTCATTTTATATGAAAAGCAGCAGAAGTTGGATTGTTCATGTTTACAGATAACTCGCATTTTTTGAATATTGACACGTTAAAAAGATTGTTAAAAATACATTTAAAAATTACATTACATATTAAAAATGACAAAAAGAAGTTTTATGCTTATAAATGAATACATTGGATTTTAAGACTGGAGACGACTTAGGTGAAGACCAGTACTGTGTTTGAAATTGAACATGTAGCTAAAAAAAAGCATTGAATTATGGATAGTTAGATTGATCAAATATGGTAAAGGGCTGTTTTTGAAGCGGTTGGTTTTGCATTTGAAATTATGATATGTAGAAGCCTGACGTAATGATATTCTAATTTCTTTTTTGAGAGGTAGCCAGTTCTGCCATGCTGGATGAATTGCTAACGATTTTGTAACTAATTTCTGGGCTATTGCACTTTGAAGGTAAACAAAAATGGTAAAGTCTTCCTATCTTAAAGGAGGAAGATCAGAGGCAACAGACACAAACAAATTATTAATTGCATTAGCAGCTTCTTTATAACAATGAGGTTGTTGTGATTCAATACCAGGAATAGTAATTGGAACAGGGTAACATTTACCGTTTGTAAGTATTTTAATATGTTTGTACCAAGCTGACGGATTATTCAACTTTTCTCTTTGTATATATACGAGAATTGTAACAATCATTTTCAGCAACTTTATTGCGTAAATGTTTACAAAGATAATTATTTCCATTCTTAAAAGCGCTTTGTCTGTCACGGATAAGTGATTTTATACGTGGAGTTATCCATGGTTTATCAGTATTGCACACATTTATTTCACATGTAGGCAAGTATAAATCAAGGTGAGTTTGAAGAGTATCGATTAACCTGGTACACGTTAACATTAAAGCAGAGTTTTGAAAAACTTCCTCCCATGTATGAGCAGTAAACCATTGACCAAACAAGCGTATCCCGCTGTCTATCAATGGATGTACAATCTTGTTTTCCTTTTAGTTGTTTGTTTAAAAAAATTATCAGGAGACCAAATGATACAGTTGTGGTCACTTATGCCAATTGGTGGAAGAGTCAAAATACCTGTATCAAATTCAGAAGAATTTGTGTAAATCTTGTCAAGTACATGTATGTTACATTCCCTCATGGGTTTATCCACTACTTGTTTAATCCTATCGTCTCTTACGATTTCTCGAAAGTTAAAATCATTGAAATCACCTAAAATTGATATCCCTGCATAAATAATAATAAATAATTATTATCCTTGCTTATATAGCGCCTAACACTTACTTTATCATCAGAAGTCTCTAAGCGCTCTACAATAATGCAGCATAACTACCCTGGCTTTAGCAGTGCAGCTGTTACGCGCGCTGCGTTTCAAGGAATACATTCCTACCAGGTACCCATTTACTTCACCTGGGTGGAGTGTGCCAAATGTAGATCAATGTCTTGCCAAAGGACATTAGTGCGGCGGCGGGACTCGAACCGCGGACCTTGTGATCGACAGTCCGGCGACGTATCCACTCGACCACTACACCTCTACATCGGGGTGCTTGACATACAAAGAATCCACAGACACAGTCATGAGTATAAAAATTATGATCAACATAATCAGAACAATTTTGATTTTTTTTCTTTTTTGGCGGAAAATAAAGAACACACAAGATACTTGTACAACCAATCGCAGTTCGGCTCTAAGATTCGGTTGCTGTTTCCGCCCACTTTCGTGACGTCACGATCGGCAGTGATCAGCTGGCTTGCCGAAGGCAGGCCGTACTATGATTGACAGCTGTATGCAAATTAGAAGTCGATCGTCGGAACCAAGATGGCGATGACTAGAGCAGCGATAACTACACTAGCGGAAATGTGCGCCTTTAAGCTTTACAGGCTAAAATGCCGGAAGACACTAAGGGAAAACTCATTCAGCCAGAGAATAATCAATGTGTGGAATGGTCTTCCAGGCGATGTTGTGGAGAGTACCACTATCATTCGATTCAAATATGGACTTGCGAAGTGGTGGAAAGATGCCCTAGATAAATATGATGTCAACCCCAACCAAAGGAAACCATGGATAGGAACAACAGTCTAAAGACTGAATAATCCTTGGATAAAGTGAGTTATAAGGCCTGTCCTTCTACAACGGCATTTATTTTGCCCATTTCCCTGTGTAGAAACTGTTTTCAACACTTCCTTCACGTGACTTGATGAAGCGTTCTTACCGTCGTATCATACTTATCCCAAAAGTTCTTGTGTATATCGACAAATCCAACTCTTATATCTTTTTGAATTCATAATAAAACAATAATAATAATAATAATAATTTTATTTACCCTCGGAAGCCTCAACTGCCTCATTGCTCTTCTTCCTGAGGGCCCTACAATCTTTATGACCCATCAATGTGTTCAGGTATCAATGTGCATGCACCTGGGTGAAGAGGGGTAGATGCGGATTAATGTCTTGCCAAAGGACTCTAGTGTCGGGCTAGAATTCGAACCCTCAACCCTCGTTTATGTCGTATAAACTGGAATGTTTTAAAACCCTGAATGATGGTTTCCTAATAAATTGATAAAAATGCTGCATTGTTAACCTATATTAGACTTCTACTGCATGTAACCTTTTGTCATCGGCCCCTCTTTTTCTTTTTCTTTAAAGAACGATGAGGTAGACCTCCTGGTCGCCTTATTATATGGGACTTTTTAAGGATTGGCCTCCGAACCTTAGCATTACTCAAGGGTTTAGGATTGTTCTCAATAACTGATTTAGCATAGATCGCGATACTCGCGAAAGAACCATCTTCCTTCGCCTTTCTATACACACTCAGGTAAGGCGATTCAAACTCCCCGCTCAAGTTGAACGCACTTTCAGGCCAAGTGGGTGCGCGGAACGTCAAAGGTTTGAGTTGTGCCCATCTGGCGTACAGCTTTTTCTCCGTCAAGAATTTATGACCGCCTTTGACCATATATTCTCTGTTGTTGAAGTAGCTGCATTCAAGAGAACGATCCTTGCCGGTGTCGTAGTAGTGATAGCCAACCTGAGATTGTGGTTCTCGTCTGATGCGCAGTGGATGTAAAGAAATTGAAAACAGGGCGGGGAATGAGGACAGATAGAGAGAAAAAACAAAACGATAATTCTATGCCAATTGCTATATCTCAATTAAATATCATTAAAAGCGATCAAGACACACGAGTCAATCAATGCATTGGTAAATAGAAAGCAGTTACATCCCTGCCAGTCATCTGCCTACAAAATAGTATACGTAACCATATCTGCCGCCACACTTTATGCTATTAAACTAGCCCACCGGTTAATCGAAAACTTTAAATTCATCAAAAGGGCGTTTTTTTTATCATTCTGATTATTCAAAGCCATTTCACATCAGGTTAATAATAAATGTATATTTCAAATTATTCACAATTTTGAACAAACGTTTATTCAAGCCTGAGGAAAGCAAGTTGTACCTGCAGTAGTCTACGTCTGATACTCCATAGCAGACGACATTATCACAAACATCGAGGGCAAAGAGGACAGACATGTATCCAGTACTGAACCAGGATTTAATCTCCGTTCTGAAACAAAAATGCATTAAGAGAATAATGGTGATACAAACAAGTGCGATCAATGGTTAGCCAACGTTGAGTACTACATGTATAACCGCATGGTAGTGAACCACGGCACCATGAAATAAAAACAGAAAAGACAAAATATTATGAAAAGGTATTAACTTAAAGAATAGAAGTGAAAAAGATACCGAAACAAATCAAAAACAAAACAAACAGCACATATTAAGGACACTCTAATTACAAAGTGGTTATGAATCTAATATTGCAGATGACTTTCCTTTTCCCTCATGTGTAATGCAATGCCAATGGCTTAACATTAGGTCAATCATAAAACCTCTTCCTAGCTGGGTGGTTGAATGATTTGTTATTCATTTATATAAATTGTTTTAATATTCATTTATTTATTAATGTATGGTTGTATTTGCACTCATTAACATTTTCTTTAGTTATATATAGGCCTATTAATTATTTCTTCATTTGTGTATTTATCCATTTATATCATCATGCATTGTCTGCAGCAAAAACTTGTTATTTTTGTAATCGTTATTTACCTGTTTAATCCCGTTTCATTCATAAATTTTCTTTCCATGTCATCGATCATATCGTCAGTCTGGAAATAAAATTTTACTTTGGGAAAACTCGTGCTAAACCTCCTCGCAGTTTTGAAGACATCATGAGTAGTCCTGTTAATGGTTTCCTTATAAAGCCAAGGAACATAAATCATCGAGGGTCTTGTTTTGGGGCTCAACAGTATCTCACTCTGTCCTATCTTTGGAGTGAGGAGACCCCGCTTAAAATTACTGTGGCCAATCACACGTACTGTAGTGCGCATGCCCACATCGTCTATATGGTTGCGCACTGTGGCAGTGTTCTGTCTGATGACGCAGTCTGCTCTGTCGATCTCTTTTCCCATGTTAGAGCCTAGCAGATGGCCTGAACTGAAGACTAACGCACATTGATTACAGTGGAGATGCAGCTCCTTAGATGAGGTAGAGAGTTGAAAAAGAGAGAGAAAAAAAGAGAAAATGTTTGACAAGGATTATACCAAATTCTGTAAAATTATTTGTTGCTTTTGTTTACTCGCCTATTAGTAACGAACAGACAAGAATAAACATTAATTTTCATAGTAATGTTATAATAATGATGATGATGATGATGATGATGATGATGATAATAACAATGATAATAATAATGGTACTCAAAATAAAAACAATGCTTTGCTGTAATGTTTTATGCTCATATATAGGTCTTTACAATCTTTTTTCTTGTATTTATTTGTTTTCCCGTTAATGTTGTTTTTGTTGATTGGTGCCCCAACCACAAGTTGCATTCAATTTTTTTTAGGGGCTCCTGTTTTTATATTGCCATGAATTATTGTATATGCATTTTTATAGTTGAAATAAATTGAATTGAATTGAATTGAATTGAATGATATTAAATGATGATGACACCAATGATGATGATGATGATGATATCAACAACACCGCCGACATTAATATAACTTTAGTTTCTTTGATTAGATATGATCCGCAACATGATCCATTCAGTAGGCCTATGATATGTAATGCACATTGTATAAATTAACATATAAGGGTTCATAGGTCTCCTATATTTGATCTACAAATATAATGATATTATGATATACTAATGTGATATAGTATTGTGCTCAAAACACAAACTAATAAGAAGATAATATTAGTTTGAAAATGTGATATATCTTGAGACTAAATTCGGAACATTGATTCAAATTTTTTTTTTATTTGAACAAGACATTTTACAACTACTACATGCTTTTTATGCAGATAATTACGCATATTAAAATTTCGTTGAAATAAAAGATTGTTTTCTTTTCATATGTTCCATCACTTGGTGTACGATATATTTAAGCTGATTATTTCTTGGTTTATGAGTTTGTGAAAGTTTGATATACGAGAAAAAGGTTTGAGTAGACATTATGGAAAGACGAGGGGTATACAGCGAAATACTTAGGTTTCCGACCATCCACGTATAATGTCTTTAATCAGACATTGTTAAAGGTAATACAAAGTTTTGGGAAATTTTGAAAATTGGGTAGATAGTGAATCTTTACAATTTTGATATATTTGGATGCCCCTGTGGATGTATTATAAGCACTAAAAAAATTAACCCCTAAAACACTTCTGTTTTCGAGAAAAATTGAATATAAAAATTTACCGGTGCTCCCGGTAAATTTTGATAAATTTCAAATAGCGCCTACGGCCGTACAATGGTAGCTGCGACCATGAAAATCTCAGAATATGTAGTTGTGATATATAATTTCCAAACGGGAGTAGCTAATCGGTCGATTTTAGTCAAGAAACATTGTTTCATAGCCAAATTAATATCTTGACCTTGAGAGGGAGCTATACAACATGAAGAGTTTATTATTTATAATTTCATAACTTTAGACTCGATTTCAACCGGGACCACGATCACTGGATATTGTAGGATTGCATATGCTTCCAATATGTTAATTTGAATCAAATTCATGACCCCATACCAAAACTTTGTAATACCTTTAAGGCTTAGAATCGTTGGAAGGTAAACACATCACCATGGTAACTGGAGTCAATGTTAGCTCAGGGTATGAGTGACTTTAGGGCATGTTTCAAGTAGATATTACATCTTTCGTTTCTATCAGCATAATAACAATGTGTGATGTGGCGTACAGACCAGCGCAAGTTAATAGTTAAATTAAAATAGTGTAGTGTGTGATGGTGGCTTTTAAATGAAGCCAATGTTTAACCCTGCCCCTAACCAAACACTCAAACTCTAGGATATGTTTATCCATTATGCATTCGATATAATTTGATTTCTTAAAGGGAAATAAATCACAAGAAATACGCATACCTTATTAGAATCCAGCAATAAGTAACCATGCTTTCGCGAAGGAGACTTTCCGATGGTGATCATGGTGTTAGTAGTTACATTTTGAAGTTTTCCATCACAGTCTTCACATGCCAGTCCTGGTTCTGTAGATGTGTTATGAGTTCTGGGATTGTTCTGACAGTGATTTGAATACATTGATGAATAATTCTGTTTGGGAATGTCTTTCATCAACCCGCGTCTATGGAATGTGTATTCCGATGCTCCCAGAAGGATGTGGGTGTAGTTTATAGCCCATTGGTGTTCCAATTTGCTTGTGAAGATCATTATCATCAACACTAAGCAGAATGAGAAGAGGAGCAGCGAACGGAACATTGCGGTCTAAAAAGAAGAATAGAGAAAACATGATGCCCAAAATGAAGTGTCACAACGTATCACCACATCTACCAAGTATAGCTTTGTATTTACGTGTTATCATTCAGTTGACCTCTCTCTGGGGGGGGGGGTGTATGTTTTTAATATGGAAGCCCCGCATGTATGAACATTACTCTCTCTAAAAAAAAAATAACTTTTCACTCTATTTTCACTTTCTTGGGAGTGATGTCAGGATCACTAAGTTTAGGAGTGAATATCGATTGATTTTAGAGTGCTCTCTAAGAAGAAAAGAGTGAATGTTCACTCTATTTTCACTACATTTCCACTCTCCAGAGGAGTGACGTCCGTGATCACTCGATTTTTTTTAGAGACTAGGCAAAGGGGACGTCGACGGGGGAGGGGGGGGGGGCTCGAGATTTAAGCCCCCTTCTCGCCCCAAAATACACACATACACACAGACACACATAATGTGTAAATCATATTTGCCCCGAGGCAAAGTGTACCAGTACGCATGTTTGAGCCTTCAAACTATCTAGGTTCCATACACAACTGCTAGATATTTTTTTTTGTATATGTTTCTATTTTTTAAATCTTCTTTGATTGTTTTATTATTTGTTTAAAAACTACATATCGGATTATAATTCATGTCTTTCAAAGCAAATTTTTTTTTTTTGTAATGAGTATAATACATGGAAAAGAAGCTAAATAAGGAGGTAAACTTACCCTATTCATAACATTCATTTTCTCTCACAGTCCAAGATATAAAGGCACCTGTCATAAACGAAAGTCTTCCATTGCGCCGATTTCTGAGTTATCTCGTGAAAATCATTCTTCTTTCAGTCTTGTCAAGATGGAATGGTTATAGGTGTCCAAGTCTGCAGCTCTTAAAACCGAATAAAATATTCATCTATAGCTCCATTAGATGACCACAAACGTTATAAATCATATTTACAAATTCGTCATGAAGCAGATAGTGGCTTGTTTGAAGTCCATTCGTAAATATATTAGTGCTATAAAACTTCGAGCCATTTCATATACAAAGTCATGTAGAAAATATTCTTGGAGTAGACTTTGAACTACTGCTAGTATGATGGCAAATATTAGCCAGGTGACGGGGGTCTTATCGCTTGAGATGCGATATCTAAAAGATATTCGTGCAAACATCGGCGACTTATGTTCGTTCTAGACAGCTTTCACCTCCTACCCTCTATGCTAGCTATCCTATGCGACTTCGCAGACTTCATGTGCAGGATAGTGTACCAGGTACAGACAAATATATCCTCAGCGCCTAATAGTAGTGGACATGATTGGCAGTCTACCGTCTGCGTTCCGGTGTCATGGTGATGTATCAGTGCGGAGATCGATATCGCTTCACCCTTTTGCTAGACCCAAATGTTAATGCGTATGATATTTACTATTAATTATGATATTACCGCATCGTCATTGTTATTCCGTCGTTTATCAGATTAGGCGTAATCTCTCAATTATCACAATGACCCAGTTGCAAAGACACCGCCCAAACTCGATAAGTCAGGCTGCTATATTTTGTATGTAAGTTTGGAAGTATCATTGTTATTTTGGAAGTAGAAGAAATAAAGAAGAAATACCGACTCAACTCACCTCAGTCATCGATTTTGATGTTTTAGGGGAGGAGGGAGGGTGAGGGTAGTCTCCCTCCCTCCTCCCCTCCCCGTGTATGTCTCTCTCTCTGTCTCTCTGTCTGTCTGTCTCTCTCTCTCTCTCTCTCTCTCTAACTCTCTCTCTCTCTCTCTCACCCCCTCTCTCTCTCTCTCTCTTTTCCTCTCTCTCTCTCTCTCTCTCTCTCTCTCTCTCTCTCGTTGTCTATGAATCCAGCTTGCAGAAACCAAAATAGAAGTGTAATATAATATTAGTCACATGTAATGTTTAGATGGGGACGAATGATTTTAAGGTTCATACTTTGTATTGAGATTGACCGGTAGGGGAGATGCTTAGACTCCATTAAATGCCCCTCCCACTCCTTTCCCCAGACACAGAGTGCCGCATTCGTACCGAAATTATAGTAAAATTCAAAGAAGTGTTAATAGCTAAATACTGTACTGAGATGTAGGAATTTAGTCAAGCTCAAAATAGGCATCCCTTCAAAATTGAGGACGATTAAAAATAGCATCAACAATTTTGACATCTCAAACTCAAATGAAATCAAGTAATTTAGTTATATACATTCACCAAATGCACACTCGCACATTAAATGTGAAATAATATAAATGCAAGTTGGAAGGGTCATTATCACAGTTGTACTGGTATTATTTTATAGTTTTCTGTATATTTCCAAAAATTAATTCCAACAAATACATAGATGCAAATTTAAAAAGTTCCTATCCCATGCACGGCCGTGTTGCAGTACCTGCTGAAAAGCTGCATGTATCTGTATCATCACAGACGATTTGCGGTCTGTATGAGACTAATCTACTCCGATCACGAGGTCAAGATCAAAGTTCATTAATGCTCTTCATTCGCTGGTGCATATATATGTTTTGATACAACGAGTGCATACTACCAGGTACTCGTACATGTTCAGTATTACACACTGCGTGATAGAGTATTTCATTTCTGGGATTTCTAAAAGCTTACAAGCAGGTGAGTAGAATCAGATTAGGAAAACCTGAAATATCAAACATGTGTCGATTATGTATTTACAACGTTTAATTTTGGAAGCTTAGGATGCAGACTACAGTGATAACAGGGAACAATGTACCCCGACTCATACATTTCAGGCATATATAGGTCGGGAGTTCACTGATCAGATCATCAGGGATCGATATGCTTTATCTAGTTTGCACGCACACACTCTTGTTGGTCGTTTCGCGTGTATACACCTATGGTCTGCACGGTGAGACTATGCTGAATGCAAGTTGCATATCTATGCTCCAGAAAAGACCGAGACGGACGGAGTTAGGCTCTTATCAAGGCTTCATGAATTGTGATAAAATGTCAAATAGAGTTTGCGCCCGCAGATAGTATACTATATCACTGGCCCGTGGTTAGAGAATAATTGTTCCTGTAGTCGCACTGAAGATATATGTCGCTCATAGGAGTGGGTTCATGCAGTAGATCATGCAAACACATTGCATTTATCTGTATAATATAAATGGCACTAGTTTGTATGAAGTAAGAGCAATTGCACAAATTGTAGCAGGACAAGACATAAATGCGTTGAATGAAGGCTATGCGATGCTGTTCTGACTATTCTTCCCTACATGCCGATCTTAGGATTAGTTTCTGAGTGAGTTCTAATATTTTATTCATGATGTTCATAGAAGCCTGCCCCTCTCTCACTGCATAATTATAACCAACCATATGTTTCCACATTATATCCTTTGCTTTATTGTACCATGTGGTACGGTCTGTGCTTGTATAGACAATCGATGTACAGGTGCGTGACGTGATTGATCAATGACTAACTTGATATTTTGTTAAATAAAATTAATAATAATAATTATAATCATAATGTATGAAGCGCTTAATACAGAGTACCATCTCTAAGCGCTTTACTGATATTATTACCCCGGTCATCTGATACATTCACGCACAATATGCGCCATCTCCACTCCCTGGGTAGTATTCTTACAATATGGTCATCATGAGGGCATTTGGTTATTACGTACACAAAGGCTTTCGTCGTTTTACCAGGTCCTCATTTCCTCGTTGGGTATTTAAATACGTTTCCCTATTATAATTACGAATCCGTAGAAATTTGAATTGATGCTGTGTATTTGATAAAGTCGTTTTTCAGGTAGCGTTGCGGAAAGAACTTTATTTTAATCAAATGAAATGCGTTAAAATTGTAATAAATTGTTCTTTTGACCTCCTGTTTGAAACACTTTCAGTATGGCGTCTCGAATCGCTTTGATTACTGGCTGTTCGTCTGGTATAGGGATGGAGACGGCTCTGCGACTCGCCCGACGATCTCAAGATCCTATTACCGTCTATGCTACGATGAGGAACATGACGTCGAAGAACGACATCGAGCACAGAGCTGGCGATTGTCTGGAGAAGGGTTTATTCGTACGAAGGTTGGATGTGACGAAAGAGGATACGATTGTAGATGTTGTTTCTTACATCAAGTCAAAGCACGGGCGATTGGATATACTAGGTATGTACTATACAAATATAATGCAGTCAAGACAATATGAAGAATATACTAGACGATTTGAAGAAAAAAAATGATATAGTTCATATTTCTTGAATCCAATCTAACAATGTGTTAATTGCAAGAAGATAATTGTTAATACATCAGCGATACCACCAAACCGACCGATTATTTGCCACTCGGCGGTTCGGGTAAGTATTTATTATGCACACTCTGCTCTCGGTCTGATGTCAGATTCGTTCGTGTGACAGGGATTTAGTGGTAATTATGTTGTTTATCCAGAGGCCGTCGAAAGAGGGAGTGTGATACCCCACCCCCACCATTTAAAGCATTTTAATGTTCTGTCGTCAAATAAGAACGTGTGGGGACTTTGGGGAGATGTGTTTTGGCTAGCCTGTCGACAAAGCTGGCCCGACCAACACCCCTTCATTTCACAATGGTCCTACATCACTCATGTATGCTTTATTTCACATGTTTACTTGTCTGTTTTTAAGGAATTTGTTGCACATTTATTCCAGTGCCATTTTTTCTTTTATGCCAGGGACAAAGTGCCTATACATTGAACATAAAAGCTAATGCTTGCCGACAAAATGTTTAATGTAAAAAATGTACCAGCATATATCTTTTGATCTATAACTCGTTATGTATCATTATGCGGAAAAATGACTATACCCAACTCGTTTTGTACTGACGAAACTGTTATCATGTATCAACTGCAGTTTTTCTTCTCTCTTTTTTTTTAACAGTAAACAATGCTGGGATAGCAGGACTTTGTGTTTTGGAAGCGACAGATCTCGACATATTCAGGAAGATGTTCGAAACTAACTTCTTTGGCGTGGTTCGCCTGACACAGGAAGTACTTCCCATCATGAAGTCTCAGAGGTCAGGCAGAATTGTCAATATTAGCTCCATCGGAGGTTTCGCAGGTAATCTCATACTTTATTTAATTCATTAATTTTTGTTAATCTACCAGAGTGAAAACGATATATATGATTTTATGCTAATAGGCCCACATCTTTTTTCCAATGCTGCCCAGTTCTACTTATCAAAATAGTCTTGTAAACAAATTGAAACACATGTATTTGATATTGAATGAAGTCTGGACATTGCTCTCTATATAACATTACTTTAAAAGGCATTTCGTATAGATATTTGCACTATGTGTGATATTTATCAGTATAATGCATTGTGTTAATCGAAATTTCGTTTTAATAATGTAGCATTTTAATACTGACAATAAAATTTACCCCGAACATTGAAACTGCTATATTGCAGGCACGTGTATCTATGTTTAATCCTGAAACAGCAAATATAAAGCGATATTCCTATTCGATATTATTTAGTGAGACTGTTGGTACTGTCAATGCAGGTTTCCCATTCTATGAGCTGTATGGATCTTCTAAATTTGCTCTCGAAGGATTCTCAGAAAGCTTGGCTATGATCTGTAGACGATTCAATATATGGTAAGAATTAAGCTAATGTATGATCGAATTAGTTTTGTTTTATTTTATCAAGAATAGTGATTATTTGTAACTTTATCAGTGTCATCATTATCGGACCTTTTAAAAATACCGGCGCCATTTTATAAATGGCAATGGCTCTAAACAAAGGCATGCTAAATCTTCCTCTTCTTATATTTGTACATAATAATAATAATAATAATAATAATAATAATAATAATAACCTAATAGTCCACTCCAAATTTTATTAAACCGAAACGGAAATTCTTTTTGCCCAATTGATCGTGAGCCCGGCAGCCACTGAGCAGCGCCAGATCGACGTTGCTACAATAATACATGTGTACTTGAATTTCCAGGCGGAAAATAAAACAAACCCAAGCCAAAACCCTGAAGTCAATGTTTTTGATTCTACATGAAGAATGTTTACATATATGTTTATCAAATTTGTTGTTCGATTCCACTCTCTTACTCTTAGTATACATGTTGCTAACAATGCTAAGTGGGAATCCACGCTTTTAGAAGTCATATTATAGGATCAATTCGATTTTGGAGTTGCGTCCACTCCAAAAGTATTGCGCAATCCAAACCAGACAGTGGTTCTAATTGCTCTTTTGAGAGTGGTATCCACTATTCTAAGAGTGGTTTTCCACTCCAAATCAAATTGATTTCTTTTATGACTCGTGATAAGAAGAGTGGATTTCCACTCCTGTCAATCTGTATAGAGACTACTAAGTCTTAGATGTGTAATGCATTATGGTGTAAATATTCAAAACTGTATGGTAATACGGCTAAAGCAAAAGTCTAATATAAAAATCTATACTTTCCTAGTAATTGGACAGGGTTGCGGCGGTCCAATCATGTCTGACAGTGACTAAGTTCGAGTACTATGTATTAATCTACACCCTCCCGTTAATGTTACAGGGTGACGGTTTTCCAACGGGTCCGACTGCGACTAAGTTCGAGTACGATGTATTAATCTACACTTTCCCGTTAATGTTACAGGGTGACGGCTGTCCAACCGGGTCCGACTGCGACTAAGTTCGAGTACGATGTATTAATCTACACTTTCCCGTTAATGTTACAGGGTGACGGCTGTCCAACAGGTCCGACTGCGAATAAGTTCGAGTACGATGTATTAATCTACACTCTCCCGTTAATGTTACAGGGTGACGGCTGTCCAACGTGTCCGACTGCGACTAAGTACAAGTACGATGTATTAATATACACTCTCCCGTTGATGTTACAGGGTGACGGCTGTCCAACCGGGTCCGACTGCGACTAAGTACGAGTACGATGTATTAATCTACACTCTCCCGTTGATGTTACAGGGTGACGGCTGTCCAACCGGGTCCGACTGCGAATAAGTTCGAGTACGATGTATTAATATACACTCTCCCGTTAATTTTACAGGGTGACTGCTGTCTAACGGGTCCGACTGCGACTAAGTACGAGTACGATGTATTAATATACACTCTCCCGTTAATGTTACAGGGTGACGGCTGTCCAACGTGTCCGACTGCGACTAAGTACGAGTACGATGTATTAATATACACTCTCCCGTTAATGCTACAGGGTGACGGCTGTCCAACCGGGTCCGACTGCGACTAAGTACGAGTACGATGTATTAATATACACTCTCCCGTTGATGTTACAGGGTGACGGCTGTCCAACCGGGTCCGACTGCGAATAAGTTCGAGTACGATGTATTAATCTACACTCTCCCGTTAATGTTACAGGGTGACGGCTGTCCAACGTGTCCGACTGCGACTAAGTTCGAGTACGATGTATTAATATACACTCTCCCGTTGATGTTACAGGGTGACGGCTGTCCAACGTGTCCGACTGCGACTAAGTACGAGTACGATGTATTAATATACACTCTCCCGTTAATGTTACAGGGTGACGGCTGTCCAACGTGTCCGACTGCGACTAAGTACGAGTACGATGTATTAATATACACTCTCCCGTTAATGTTACAGGGTGACGGCTGTCCAACCGGGTCCGACTGCGACTAAGTACGAGTACGATGTATTAATATACACTCTCCCGTTGATGTTACAGGGTGACGGCTGTCCAACCGGGTCCGACTGCGAATAAGTTCGAGAACGATGTATTAATCGACACTCTCCCGTTAATGTTACAGGGTGACGGCTGTCCAACCGGGTCCGACTGCGACTAAGTACGAGTACGATGTATTAATCTATACTCTCCCGTTAATGTTACAGGGTGACGGCTGTCCAACAGGTCCGACTGCGAATAAGTTCGAGTACGATGTATTAATATACACTCTCCCGTTAATGTTACAGGGTGACGGCTGTCCAACGTGTCCGACTGCGACTAAGTACGAGCACGATGTATTAATCTAAACTCTCCCGTTGATGTTACAGGGTGACGGCTGTCCAACCGGGTCCGACTGCGAATAAGTTCGAGTACGTTGTATTAATCTACACTCTCCCGTTAATTTTACAGGGTGACGGCGGGCGAAATTTTTATTCCCAAACAGGTTTGCAATTTCTTATATTTCCGTTCTTCTCAATGGCTGATACGTCATTATCAGCTTGGAAAGAGATCACAAACAATTAGGCTTTGATTTTTTATTGCTTTTACCTCACTATTTATAAAGGCAAAAAAACGGAATAAACTGTGACTTGAACCCACAAATCTATAAATGTATTACGCTGACCTTACCGATTGAGCCAACGATGGGTTGATGAAAGATGATTCTGCATGATTTCTATAACGCTATCACTCACCCTAACGGTTACGTCATTGCTAATGACGTAACATATCAGCCAATCAGATGACCGGAAATATTAGCATTGGCAAACCTGTTTGGGAAAAAAAAAATTTAGCTGACGGCGGTCCAACCAGGTCCGACTGTGACTAAGTTCGAGTTCAATGTATCAATCTACACTCTCCCGTTAATGTTACAGGGTGACGGCTGTCCAACGTGTCTGACTGCGACTAAGTTCGAGTACGATGTATTAATCTACACTCTCCCGTTAATGTTACAGTGTGACGACTGTCCAACCGGGTCCGACTGCGACTAAGTACGAGTACGATGTATTAATATACACTCTCCCGTTAATGTTACAGGGTGACGGCTGTCCAACCGGGTCCGACTGCGACTAAGTACGAGTACGATGTATTAATATACACTCTCCCGTTGATGTTACAGGGTGACTGCTGTCTAACGGGTCCGACTGCGAATAAGGTGGAGAACGATGTATTAATCTACACTCTCCCGTTAATGTTACAGGGTGACGGCTGTCCAACGGGTCCGACTGCGACTAAGTACGAGTACGATGTATTAATATACACTCTCCCGTTAATGTTACAGGGTGACGGCTGTCCAACCGGGTCCGACTGCGACTAAGTACGAGTACGATGTATTAATATACACTCTCCCGTTGATGTTACAGGGTGACTGCTGTCTAACGGGTCCGACTGCGAATAAGTTCGAGAACGATGTATTAATCTACACTCTCCCGTTAATGTTACAGGGTGACGGCTGTCCAACGGGTCCGACTGCGACTAAGTACGAGTACGATGTATTAATATACACTCTCCCGTTGATGTTACAGGGTGACGGCTGTCCAACCGGGTCCGACTGCGACTAAGTACGAGTACGATGTATTAATCTACACTCTCCCGTTAATGTTACAGGGTGACTGCTGTCTAACGGGTCCGACTGCGAATAAGTTCGAGTACGATGTATTAATATACACTCTCCCGTTAATTTTACAGGGTGACTGCTGTCTAACGGGTCCGACTGCGACTAAGTACGAGTACGATGTATTAATATACACTCTCCCGTTAATGTTACAGGGTGACGGCTGTCCAACGTGTCCGACTGCGACTAAGTACGAGTACGATGTATTAATATACACTCTCCCGTTAATGCTACAGGGTGACGGCTGTCCAACCGGGTCCGACTGCGACTAAGTACGAGTACGATGTATTAATATACACTCTCCCGTTGATGTTACAGGGTGACGGCTGTCCAACCGGGTCCGACTGCGACTAAGGTGGAGAACAATCCGGATATAACCGATGATCTGTTGGCACAGATGGATGATGAGAGAGTTGATCCTGAAACAAGGAAATACTTCTGCGATCGCGTTAAGATGAGGAGAGATGTTCTCAAAAACATCTCCCAACCAGTGGAAGAGGTTGTTGACGTCATTGAAAGAATCATCGACGATGAGAAACCCTTGCTACGATATCAGACGAACGAAGCTTCGAGAGAGATGGCACGAGTTCGATCTCAAGATCCGACTGGAGATGCTTGGATTGAGAACAAGCTAATGACTGGGTTTTTCCATGATGTAAACGACTAGCACAACAACAACAGGCATTCAACGACTATGCAGACCACAGAAAATAGTCAATATGACAGCGAATTTGTTTTAAATTTGTATATGGGGTCTTTTGTACGGTACGCGTCAGTTTTACGGAAAAATATTGTTTGTTGTTTAGTTTCATTGGTTATACAGGGCTCCTGTATAATAAAATTATTTTATAATGATATTTATCGAAACTAGATATCACTGTCGATTCTAATGATAGAGGAGTTTGTAAGTTTGCGAATGATTAATACTACTTCTAGGTTTTCCCGGCCAATTTCGTCAAAGCAGCAATCAATTTCATTAACGTGCATTCATGTTTGAGCAAATTTTCTCCACTCGCTCCCCTGTTTCATTTTTAAACTTGTTGCGTTCAATTTCGTTCCGAGTCACCGAATTTTCTAAACATGCTCATTCAAATTAAAGCTTGATTCAGTCAATTTGGTATTGCGTAAGGGTTATTCAATTTCGCCAATGTTGAGTGGGAGGAGAATTCTTTGGCGAATTGCGGTTTCATTTTTCGTCTATGGCCAACCTTTTTCGCAATCGGGCTATTCAAGTTAAAACTAGACCTCATCTTAGTATGATGCTCGATGTTTATTCGGATATTCAGTATTTCATGTTAATTTGTTTATTCTTTTTCTCTATGATCTTTTCTGTCTTCTGATTTCACGTTATATAATCCTCTTATTTGTCTGATGTATTCATATTGCATTTTATGTTTTCTCTTTCTTTCGACGTTCTTTATTTATTCATATCTTCATATCTTTCATTATAAATGTCTTTGAGGTTAATTTTGAAATGGTTTGTTTTTATCAATCTTGATTGAGTGGGTGATCTTTATTTCTTTTCATTTAACATCTTTTTCGTTATTCATCATTGTATTTTGTTTCCATCATGTCCATGTCTATTAAAGCTGAACTCTACTTCTGTCCAGGATCTGTTTATATAAATATGCTTAGAATAGAAATCACAAATTGTGCACCTCAGTTCTCTGGGGACACTACCCTGTGTACTGTCAGATATCTGCTATCGAATACGCATGTCATTCCTACAATTAAACTTTGCGTGACATTGTTTCAAACAGAAGTACATTAAGTGACAAATTAACATCAAATGAAAAGCAATGCACAGTGGCAAATTATCAATATCTTGCCAAAGGACGTTAGTGCCGAGTTTGGATTCGAACCATCAACATTTGGACTGAGAGTCAAGTGAATGAACCACTATACCACGATACCTCTACACTGGTTATTACTATTGGTGCTATATGGGGCTATTCATTAGATTGGTATGTGATATTTATTCATCTGTTTTTACTGCCACCACTTCCAACGAACGTCCGACCATGAATGAGGATAATGTTAAAGATCTAAATATTGACATTTTCTCTCTGTTTATTTTTATTTCGATTCTTATTCAGTACTGTTATGCTAACGTTGATGCATATGCCTTTATACTCGATCATGCACAATTTCTTTTTTCTTCTCTTGAAAAGGATTTTTTGTGGGTGTGTGCGCATGACCACATGCTAATCTGTTATGAAAGTTTTTTTTTTTTAATTTGATATCAGAAACATATTTCTAACTGTATTGTTTGGCTTACAATCTTTAAATAAAAAATAAATACAAATTTACCCTTCATCTGCAGATTTCTTAATTAATAATTTTTGGTAGTGCGTTATCAGTTAAATTTTGTTTTAATGTCAACATCTATTATTATTATATTCAATTCAATGTATTGATTTGTACAATGCAAGTTCAACATGGATATTTGTTTCACTCACATTTAAAATAAAGGCTCAGACATAGTTTACAAAGAACATAAATATGATACAAAACATGGATACATTTTGGTGATGACAAAATAAAAGTCATACATAATATTGATTTTCGTTTGGTTATGGCTTGTTTCTAATTTAACTGTCTCCATGCATATTTATAAATGTAATTATCTACCACTATACACTTAGAAAATCTAGCTTTTAAACTGAAGTATATCAGAATAAATTTGATAAGTAGGAAATTATAATACTGAATTATATGGGCAAATAATGTTCCACACCGTACACAATTACTTCCGCTTTACTCAATTCCTAGCGAAATGTAATGTTAAAGAAAAAACCCAGAAACGCTGGATAATGAGACACGTTATATTTAGTAAGATGCCCTGATTGAATATGTTTCTAAATCGCTGTTTTCTACATCTTCTTGTGCACACGTTCAAAAAAATGTGTGTATTTTGTTTATTTTGTATCGCTGAAATGTAATTTGATTTGTATAATGCAGAAGGAAATAAATGCAGTTCAATTCAGTTCAATATAATTGACTCCATGTATATAATATCATTGTTCAATGGTGCGCCGAATTAAGACAGTCGAATGAATGTTGCTCGTTGTCAAACTGTAATTGATAATCTGCATCAATTCTATTCTGCATAATATTACAAAAAGATGGCATAAATATGATTTTCCTTTCGTTCGAGCATGAAATTCAATACAAATTAACGAAAGCCCATTCATTTTAAGGTTTAATGATTGTGTAAGTAATTTTTATCCTTTTTTTTTTATTTCCAATATATTTCAAGTGAATTAAATTTGGGCAGGACAACTTTCTGTACTTCTATCCTAATTTAACGCTTTTGAGGTACAGGTAAATAACCATAAAATGAGATTATTCTACGTCTTATTTCTACATAAGTTTAACATTTTAAAGAAGATTGTCCTAGCAATTTGAAAGTAGCGTGAGCTGAAAATGTGATTAAACTAATCATTATGATACATAATGACTCATACAGTCAACCAAATTGCTCATACCCCTTGTAAATTTCCCTCTTTTTTCCCTCGTCAATCAAGAATGAAAGATGGACTGGTTGAATACTTTTCGATGTAAGCTTTAATATATCACATTCTCAAGAAACATAAATTGGGTCAAATACATTTTGAACATATTAATTAAAAAAAAATAAAAATCAAACTTCGTAAGAGTGAACAATTTAGTTGTTAACTGTATGTCCTCATTATTGATAAGTTAGCAAACAACGACAGCCCTCTCTCTCTCTCTCTTACTCTCTCTCTCTTTCTCGCTCTCTCCTCTCCCCTTCCCATCTCACATTCTACCCCTCCCACGCTCTCTCTCTCTCTCTCTCTCTCTCTCTGTCTCTCCTCTCCCCTTCCCCTCTTCACCCGTTACCCCTCCTCTCTCTCTCTCTCTCTCTCTTTTACACTACCCAGTAATGAGTATCAAGTTAAGGAGTATTAGTAGATATACATAGGATTCTACTTGAAGACATAACTCATTTTACTACGTAATCGCTTTAGACTTGTTTATCTTGTGCTATTAAGCACCACCAAAATATACAAATCTTAGTGCTTGGGAATGTCTAAATGAGCATAACTGAACACCGATATAATTCCTAAAAGAGACATTAAATAAACAAAGTAAGACATAATATTTAAACAATATATTCAATTTCATTTTATTCGTTGTTCCAATGTGACATGTGTCATTATCTTGCATGCTTTAAAATCTCATTCGAAGGCTTTTCCAATTCAAGTAATTATCTACATTGTACGTTCTTAATAACTACTTTTACATTATTTACGCATTTCATTTAGGTTGTATCATATATCTATTTTACAATCATAGTTCTATTGCATGGTGATTGCATTCAATAGCATTAGGAGTTGTGCAAGTCATCAACAATCATTTATTATAATCTTCATCTACAATCTAAATCCTATTGAAAATGTATTTGTATAGTATGTACAAAAATATTTCTTGTAACGTTATATACACATATAGGCAGCCAAGATGTTCATCTCTTATCTAAATTGTTACATACTTTGTCTCGGAATGTCATACAAAAACAGAAATAAATGTTTCAAAACTTGACAAGAGAAGTCGAAATACAATGATTGCATAATCGTGTTGATATCATCTTTACGCGGTGAGGGCACAGAGTTTTATTACATTTAATGTATTCATGAAAAAGCTTAGACAGATCATGCATAAAATGGACTACTGAACTAATAGATGCCATATAGAGCACCTTAAATGAATAAAGGAACGACATTTTTACGCGGGAGTTTTGACATCTTCATAATACTAGCTTTCAAGGTAGATAGCGACCTCTCTTTTACCTTTTAGCGCTTTGCAGGCTTTGACATTTGTCTTGAATTTGAAACAAAAATGTAATATGTAAGGCACGACAGACTTTTCTCTTCTTAAGGTTGATTAATCCGTTGCATGCTAACTGTCACAACATCACAGACAATACATCGCAAGCAAGGACTGATGAATCAGCATATACGGCTCCCAATTTAGACAAAGTTAACATTTATAGATATAAATGGCCTAGACACATTTGCCTGACGCGTCTGATGATAGTTTTGTTAAACCCAAAGTATTTAGTCATGAATGAAGTTTTCAATTTGAAATAAGCGTTCTATTTTGTAATATTTTGTCAAAATTAATTAGATAATAACATGTAATATGTCACGTTAAGCATCGTTCATACAATATGCCGCGACGAACCGCTGCGGTTTACTGCGTCAACAATTGACGCAGATTACCGCAGCGGTTCGTCTAGCCTTTGATGTGGTTTTGTTTAATATTAGCACGCATCATTCATTTCATTCAACTTGTAGTATCAAGGCATAGATTAAATACGGGTTGAAACATATTTGGGCTTCAATTTGGCAAGCACTCCAGCGCTATAAGATAGTGGGTTTGCCAGCTTGCTTCCAAGTATTTTGAAAGAGTTTAGCCCATTTTTCCTCAAATACATGTATTTTCTATACGGGTATTTTAAAGTAGTTTGTCATGCTCACATGAAAGTGTGCGTGGGGTAGGGCGAAATGAGGGTTAGCCCGGTCCATAACCCAATGTTAGAAACACCACTGTCTCAGTACAATGTAGTAGCAAGGAGACTACTAGCTTGTTGGTAGTAGTGGTGCAACATTATAACGGTTATAAATTGTGAGCTTATGGCAAGGATAAAAAAAAATATATTTCATGGGGGGGGGGGGGGTGAAGGATTGGAATAAAGCGTTATAAAATGTAAATGAACGAACAAACTGCTACCTCATATCGGTCTGCCTTATCAAAGAATTTCTATCATTCTAAAGTCAACACTGTCACTGGCAAACTTTGCTATGTTAAAGATGGTAACTAGTCAGTTCACCTTAAACTGACAGAATGCATATACTGAGGTAGCCATGTTTCCGTTGCATCTTGCATTGTCACCTGATTAAAATTTATGAGAAACACATGTCATTATAAAGGTTATAAAGGGCAAGGCAAGGTTTATGATCATTTCAGTGTCCCACATATTACCATGTATTGTGAACATACATGAACATAAAATTAGTCTGGTCTGACCTTTAGCAGGGCTACTAACTGCATATAAATTCCATCAATAAATTATGGAACGTTCTTTGACAAATGACTATTCCTACTCTTTATGATAACCAAGTACATGTTTTGTGGTGCATTTACCTCAGAGGGAAATGAAATCAGATTTCACATTTTAGTCAGACGGTACAAATGTACGTGGTGTGTAATATGTTTGATAGAAAAACGAATGGCTATCAAAAGAATTTGTTCTGTTTTTAATACAACTTGATTTGTACGATGTGTACGATTCATAAAGCTAACCTGACTTCATATACTGTGCTAAAACAGTAAATTACAATTTGATTACCCCTTTATTATAACAAACTTCGTTTTTGTTAAAAGGGTACAATTCTACACGCACTGTAGGTTGTAATATAAAAAAAAATCCATAGAATTTGATAAATGTGGGCAAAGCAAAGCACATTCGGAATTGCATAATTCAAAAATAAAATATAAGCAAGCTGCAAAGAAACTTGAGGAAATCATTTTAAAAAAGGGGGCAAAATATTCAACCTTTATCAAAATTTCTCCGGTGATCTAGCTTTGTGCTCCCCATTCCTTCTCCAATCAGACAGGACATCTTGGTCGCTATGCGCCCTCACCGGTGACCTACGTGCCTCCCTCTTGCTACGCTCTTCCCTGCAATCAAGTAGAGCTGTTTCGGAACCAGACCTTGTTTCGAATCGAAGGATCTTCTCTGCTTGTTTGGAATGGGGTTTCTGATGCCTCTTCTCTAACTTCTCGAAATCTATAGGTCGTACATACCTGCCTTGGTGAAAGGTTTGTTGATATTCTGGATGGTCACGAATTGGTTCATCACTTCGCAAGAGACACTCCTCGCTGAATGGTCGACTAACACCTCCAAATGTGTCGTGCTTCTTGAGCCGATGTCGAGGAGAAGAACTAGCAGATCTTCCCGTTCCCCGGTTTCCAGGCACTTGCAGAAAATCTCTCCTTCCGTCCAGTGAGTCGTGGTAACCTCGATCCCCTCTGTCCATACTAAGACTCTCCATACTTCGCCGAGGCCTTGTTGGTGATTTAGAAGCCCTATAGTGAGCGTTAATTGACCCACGACCAGGCGACACAGCTCTTCCTGGTGATTCTCCTCTGTTCGGACTGGGATCATAGAATCGTTGATGCCTTCTGCTTCGAGGGCTACGTGACCGTTCTTCTGATCGAGCCGGTCGAGCAAAATCCTCAGGCGGAGGTCTTCTACCAGGGGAAACTGGTAAGGGATCCTTTGGCCGTGCTGGTAATCTATCATCCCTTTCTGGTGTGTGTTGTTGATCATCTGGTGTTTCGTATCCTCCTACAAGGATGGTTGGTGGTTCGAGGGTTTGTCTGTCTCGTAGATCTCTAAGATCTAACGAATGCCTGGAAGGAATGCTTTCTCTTCTCGTACGTCTTATCTCATCATCGATCTCGCATGTATCAGCACTGTAGGCAGTGACAGCACCATCATGGAAAGAAGCCGCTCCCGCTCGTCGAATCTGGGGCGACCTCTTAACTAACCGGAAAGCGCTTCTTCTGTTCTTGACGTCTTCTAACCTAGGAGGCAGGTCGTGTGAAGGAGTCTTTTCAGGTCGATCATAATGTTTGAAAGGCGTGGTCGCATGGGATTTGGGATCACCTGTTGGTGATGGTTCTCTAGAGGGTTCACGAGAAGGCTCACGTGATGCTTCCCTCGATGCTTCCCGGGACGCCTCACGGGAAGGTTCCCGTGAAGATTTCGACTCGGGTGATCCCTCTGTACTATAGGCCTTCTTCCTTTCCTGTCGCAAATATTCTTCTTCAATGCTATCCTGGGATATAAGAGACTTTGTTCTACCGGTACCAGGCAAGAGAGTAGTCAGCCGTTCTTTAGCGGAGCTTTCACCACAGGTTCGTGAATCGAAACTGATACTCCTAGGCTCATTACCCCCTTGGCTACATAACACCTTGGTGGGATATTCTAACATAGAATCACTATGCTGCTTATTATGAAGCTGTAATCTATGGCTTCTATATGGACGAGATCTTCTAGAATTGGTATCAAAGAGAACATCTTGTTTTATAAACTCTTTGAACAAGGCATCAGTTTTCTCATCTATACTATAATCTCTACCTTTAGGGTAACAACTTAGTCCATCCTCTCTTGATCTAGCTAGAGGACTTGTACGACGGATTTTCCTCTCACGCAGCGCCCCTCGTCTCTCGTTTAACGTTTGATCACTCTCTTTCCCAGTTGTAACAGTGGATTCAGTTCCAGACGTTTCAGTTTCTTCTTCAGGAAAGCTGAAACTGCCAAATATAGCTTCCTCTCTACCGGCTACAAATTCTCGTCGTTTGGTTGACGCAGTACGGCGATCACCTCTATTACGTGTCATGGGCTTGCTGTCTTCACTTGCTCGCCCTACGACAGCATTCACCACAGGCTTGTCTACTGTCGGACTACTACTATCACTTGACATGGTAAAGGTCTGTGCACTTTCAAAGCTCGTGCTTTCGTGATCACTGGCTGCGAACATTTGACGTCGTTTCCATTCAGTCTCTGTCTTTTGTTCAATGGATGCATAGCCGCTGTCACCATGCATTCTGCGAAGATTCCTCGGACCATCTTTCCCCGAACCACCACTGTCCCGATCTCGCTCAGATATGTCCGACTCCTCCGCGCTAATACTACTCACAGCTTGCTCAAAGCTATCATCAATACCACTCTTCCCATCACTCTTCTCCTGTCCACTACTCTCTTCCTCCAGAGTTGGACTCCGCAGGAGAGGAGGTAGCATATTTTCTTCCACGGTCGCTCCTATCACAGTTGGATCATACTCAGACGATCCTGATTCTTCAGACGAATGCTGCATCTCGAGCGTTGACCTCAGCTGCCAAAGGTCCTTGTATTCACTCGCTCGCACGGTCTGGTTCTTACCATCTTCCCTTGGACCGTGCATGGTGGGTTCCTTTCGCTCAGGAGGAGGGTGCGGATGTCTTTCAGTATCCGGTGTGTCTTTTCGTCTCGTTCGAGACGGTGAACGATCTCCCTTGATAGGCACTTTGTCATCTGCGCTTCTGTCGCGTTCTCTCTTTCCTCCACCCTCCCTGATAGGGCTCCTCTGCCTTTCATCAATATGTCGTATTTGGCTGACGTCACCTTTGCTGTTCTTGAAATCGGGTGATTTGGCTGCATGATCATTGACAGGATGGTTATGGACTTGGACATGAACTGTAAGGGAGTCACCCGTCTTGGTTCCTTCGCTCTTGACAACCTCTCCTGGATTGAGCATAGTCCTAGGTGACTTTCCTCGGTATCGACCTACACGCTCAAACTCATCGACGGGAGGTGGATGCAAAGGACTGACGTCACCGTGACGTCTGATCACAACCTGAGCGTTGTCCGATACGTCACCGTTATGATCGCAATATCTGGAGAAAGAAAAAAATTGAGTATTACAAATGTGAGTCATGGCCTGGGCACATTTAAAAAAAGGATTATCCAATCAAACATGCTTAACACGTTTGAGATTTAAGATATAAATATTTCAAAATGTAATACGCATTGTGATCTATATTCGATGCACTGCTTTTACCATTTTTGACTGTTCCTAATATGCCCTTAAAATTGGGGGATGGGGTAGGATAATTTGAAGAAAATTGTGCCAGTGAGATTATTTGGTTGATCCGGGTGTCTATTTTCTCATCAGAAAGCGAAATAATGGGAATTAGACAGGACAAAAACGAAACAAAAACACGATTTCAAAGACTTTCTAGAAGCCAACTCAAGGACAGTTTCAATACCCTGTATTGAATTACCGATAGAGACCGGCCTTGTTCAAATGCCGTTGATATTTTGGCACATTTCATAGGGTGATGGACAGGGCTATTGAGATTGCCTTGGGTAGAATTTTTAACGTCTTTGAGAACATCGACAAAAGGCAAGGACAAGAACATAATCAGAAGAAGGAAGTAGAAAGGAAGAAAATGAAGAAGAACAAGAAGAACAAGAAGAACAAGAACAAGAAGAAGAAGGAGAAGAAGAAGAAGAAGAAGGAGAAGAAGAAGGAGAAGAAGAAGAAGAAGAAGAAGAAGAAGAAGAAGATGAAGAAAATGGAGAAGAAGAAGAAGAAGAAGAAGAAGAAGAAGAAGAAGAAGGAGAAGAAGAAGAAGAAAAAGAAGAGGTAATTACCTGTTATCTCTGTCTGAGATTGAGAAGGAAACTTCTCTACTCCTCGATGTATGATTCGAGCATGGTGTACGGGGTGTTTCCATACCCTCTAGATTCTCACTATCGCACTCTGTAATCTCACCAAGGGTACAGGTAGGGGGTATGTAAGCTGGTGGGCTCCAACGATTTTCTCCTGTAATAACAAACAAATAAAATACGTTCAGTAAAATGTGTTGAAAAGTATATTTATTCTTTTTAATGATGATCCATAATGAAAAAAAAACTAAAGGAAAACGAAGAGATAAAGAAGAATTGGCAATCACTAGTATAAATATAAGAATGTTTTTTAATATGTAAGATTAATTATCATCAGAACCCAGTGATAGCAACGAAGCGCACTAAATAATATAAAATATAAATATAATATAAACAAGCCAAGCCAAGTCGTCGCTTCAGCAGTAATATTATATGTGACTAGTGCCATCTACGCCATCAAAAAACATTTTTCCTCAATAGAAATTATAGTTTAACTGGCATTTCCATCGTTGGTTGAAAGGTGATAGCTCATAAAAGCAAGGAATACAAGTGAACTGTGATCGCATTAGAACATGTTAGACCAAGCTCTTATCCGAAGGTTTTGTGATATTTGTGTAAATAACAATGCACCATACAGAAAAGCTTTTAATTTCCTTTGGTTTGATGACGTTAATATGCTTGAAAGACGATATGAAATGAAAAATAATGCCAAGATGAAAGCATAACACGACACTGAAGTGTTAATTAATAATTCCTGCCAAAAACATTCTTTAAAACCTTTATCATGTTCTATTTATAAACAGTGATGACGCAAAGCGTCGGATTACTGAATCGCTCAGTTATTGTTTCGACGTGATGATAAATATTCTTACCTTCATCTTCGACGAGTTTTTCAGATGTTTCACCGTCTCCGTTAGCCGCTCCATCTTCACGGAGTAACCTATTAGAAGGGGAGAGAAGGGAAACGGGAGAGAAGGAAAAGAGAGAGAGAGAGAGAGAGAGGGGGGAGAAAGAAAGAGAAGGAAGGGAGAGATGAGAGAACGTTTAAAGTAACATGATAAATGTAGTTGGTATCAAAGTGTATTGCATCATAATTCGCTGACTCTAGATTTGGTTGAATCATTAATACTGTGTCTGTGTGTAAAGGTCTCGGAAGCAGCTAACCATTGGTCCCTCCAGAAAATACTCTTATTTATTCAGTGTAAACAGAATGACGAATCCATAACTATCAGAGTAATGATTATGGTTTAATCAATAAACGCAATTACCATAAGACGAGGAAGGCGAGGAAGAAGAAGACAGGGGGGGGGGGTGTTTGACAAAGATCCTAAGTTGAACTTATCTCTAAGTTGGACTTAATCATTATGGACAGCCGTGAGATTCTTTGAAAATATTTTGTAAAAGTTATTTAAAAGGGCATGAAATGTTGATTCAAGGAGATTTCATGTTCTTGATGTGGAATTTATGAAAAGTCTAAAATACTTGAATTTTTTCATTTGAAAATATTTTATTTTAAGGCTACAAATAGAGTTATATTAGACTTAGGATCTTTGTGAAACATCCCCCTGGAATAGCTAGCTCTTCGATTAAAACTATTTAATAGAGGAGAGAACATGAATGATGGGAAATTCAAGGATGAAGAAAATCTATAGAAGCATTTTGTTTTAGTCTTACTCATATTTTGATTAATACATTTCTTTAAATTCTGATTGCATTATTGTAGATATCACCCTGTCAAGGATGAGGTGGTTGCATCGCAATGCATGGAACGCTAAGACTTCAAACACATAAAGATTGTTAACACCAAAAACTACGTTTCCTGTTCCGCTTCTCTCTTTCTAAAAACCTATTTTCCTCTCTTGTTTAGGAAGTAGGTGTCATGCCTTGGGGTAAAGGCACTGCACTTCGATGTCTCTTAAAATGCAAGTGGTTTTCGTTTACATCATTATAATAATGGAACCTTTAGGCGGCGAAAAGGCCAAAATGATGTTTAACGCCAGGTTTCTGTACACGGAAGGCAGAACGACACTGAGAAGTAATGGGGTGATTAGTTATACAGGCGAGGGATGTCAGTAATCACTATGATATACATGCATCACGGTAATTAGGTCAGGATGAGACCAAATGTGTAGTTATAATGGCGCCCTCTCAGATGAATTTGTGGTGTAGGGAGGGAGGGGAAATTGAATGAACAAACGATGGGGGAGAGAATTCACGGCATCAATTGAGATTTTGTGAATTGGTTAAAATTCCCTAACAAAATAGTCAATACATGAAAAATTAAATATTATAGCTTCAGGCAAATGACATCAAAATATTACCGGGAAAAAATCATCAAAGAATTCGTAGCTTGTAATATAAAATACTGTGTAGATGAAGGTTATCTTTATTCTTTCATCGTATTCGTTTGTGAATTATGGTAAACTGTCATTCAACGCAGAATGTATCAAAAAATGTATAGTCAACGGCAATTGCTGGCACATATGAAAACAGAGACAGGATGGCAGAAAGATATATAGACAGAAAATGAAATACACGGGTTTATTGATAAATGAGAAATAATATAGCGAAGTAGAGAGAGAGAGAGAGAGAGAGAGAGAGGGGAGAGAGAGGGAGTGAGAAAGAGAGAGAGAGAAAGAGAGAGAGGTAGAGAGGGAGAAAGGGAGAGAGAGAGAGAGACAGAGAGACAGAGACAGACAGAGAGAGAGAGAGAGAGAGAGAATGAATGAATTAGGGAGAGAGAATCAAGGAGGAGAGGATATAAAAAAATATATATCTAAAAGTGAGTAAAAGAAATTAACGTAAATTAATTTTCAAAGGAAAAAAGTAGACATAGAGATGGGAGACTGAGAGAGAAAGAGAAAGAACAATAGAGGGAGAATTTAAGAATTCAGTACACGACGTTGCAACAGATGATGATTGTAGGCTATAAAGCATACATGAGTAGGACGACCAGGGTGTCAAACATATCCCCTGGTTGAGCTTTTCAGCTGCTCTCATCGTGTATACATAGCTACTCATACATAAACCCTCTAAGATCATTTGATATGAACAAAAGATGATATCGATTTTAAAAAGGCCAGAAAAGTACACTGCCGGCTTTTCAGTGTGTACAAAGGCTCTACTGGAAGTCATATACTGTACGTACAACCAATGATTTACACATACACACACATTTATCGATACGACGGCACTGACCGAAACTTAGAAAATATGATACGTATGTCATAGAAATGTTTATTATTATCAAAGCAAAACACCAGTGTTGTGCATATTGTGTCCGTGAATCTGGCAAAGTTGATGTATTTGTTCAGACTTATCTTTCATGACCATGTATCATGAACAATGCAGAATATAACCGGTATATTAAAATATTGATTAAATATACAGTTCTTTGTTCATTCAGTGAATTAAACCAAACAAAAATCAGTGGTTTAATTCAAATACATCATGGGACGCAAATTATTAGCCCACAATCAGTCTTTCAAATAGCAGATAGAAAGACAGAAGAATTATAATAATATGCCCGCAAATTCTTAAAAACGAATTAAATAGCAGTCTGCATTTATGTCACCATACAATACACCGTCATATTAATTCCATGAAAATCTATTTCTGAAACTCGTATCATAATTTTCTCTGAATCGGGTGAGGATAGACGAGTGCCTGAAGGAAAAACTGCCGTCATTCAAAACACGTTTGTATGTCAAGTACTTTAATACTAGAGAGAAAACTCATTAAAGCTAAATATACCATAAAATATGAATTCTAATTGGAAATCTTTGAGTCTACTGAAGTTGATATCAATCACAGAATGCTTAATCTCTCAACCTTGCTCATACAGCTTTTGTCCGATAAATATATTTCTCTTTCGTCAGACAATCTTTGAGATCTAGTTCATTTTAATAATGTTCTATCCATTTACCGTAGCTATTTCTTTAGAAAGTTTAACGTTTAACAAAATAATGCTAACCATTCGTTTTAATCTTATTTGTGTGTAACATCCATTAAAAGGGTATTTCCATTCCCAAACATTCATTCAATGTTCTATCCATTTAGCATGACATTTAAAAAACATTTTCTTTGTCACGTGCAGCCTATATAATTTGTGTATCTCTCCTAATTTTCTTTTTTTTAATACAAAATGACACACAATGCCGCTTCAACATACCCGAGGGAAGGAGTACATAGAAGTACGTGTCGAGCTTCAACATGACCTTAAACATAATATTACAGGTCTTCTTACTTCGTGAAATAAGAATGAGTGCATTAATCGACATTTTCTATTTGAGTACCTTAGGGCAAGTGATACCAGGGCAAATGTTACCCAATATCATTTTAACCCACAATGCAAGTCATGTACATACATGGCGCCGGTATTTATTTCTTCATTTTCTCATTCATGTTCCTCATGTAGCCGACCGGCGGAGACGATGTCCGAGTGGCGTACAGAGTTACGTCAATGGCAACCTAGACTCGCTCAAATTTTCACCCCCTTCTCATTAAACTGAAACATTAGCCTTCATTCTCGGAAACATTGGTGTTTTCACCGAACGAAACCCTTCCGTGGATATTCACACCTACTTCTTCGCCTCTTCCTTCGTCTACACTCTAAAACGCTCCCGGAGGCCATGTTGGAGAGAACGTGCCCACGGCTCGACGAGCGTCATCGGTCATCCCGAACAATGACGGAAGTAGCCGAGCGTCATCAGCCTCCACGAACAAGTAGCCGAAGGCACTATGAACATGGCGGACAAAGAAAGCGGACAAAATATACAGTTGCTCAGGTAGACAAAGGAACATCCCTTCACTGCTATTATGTAAAAATGTATAGAACAGGTGAATATGCATGTGACACCTGTTTCACACATTTTTACATAAAAGCAGTGAAAGGATGTTCCTTTGTCTACCTGAGCAACTGTATATTTTGTCCGCTTTCATTGTCCGTCATGTTCAAAGTGAGGACTGTGCTTTATTTCCGACTCACCCTGCAAGCTATACATTTGAACTTCGTTGTAAGTTTGTTTGTCCGTTTTGGATTGGGACTTATTATCAACATGGCCGTTTAACATTGGCTACAAGGCAATTTATATGACGAAGGATAAATTGTATAAAGGGAAAAGAGAAGTAAATATTAAAATATGAAGACATTAAGGGGGAAATCAGCATAGAAAGAAGTAGGAAAGTGGGAAAAGACAGAACGAAAACAAGACAGCGTTATGACTTCTTATGTTTATTTACAGGATATGTGTTAAGATGATAGGAACTCTTTTATCATCAAATCACACTTATTAGGCAGTTAACCGTGTCTCGACTCTCGGGCAGATTTCTCATCAGATATCCCATTTAGTCACACAGAGAGTAATCTTACTCATTGCTTATCATTCTTCGAACATCCCAACTGTTGATGAGAGATGTATGCTGCATCCACGAAGTTCACCTCAAGACACGATGGATATTGATGGTGATGATTAGTGATCCGAGACAGATAATAGTATGTTGATCACCCGAGGTATAATACGCTAATCGATGGTAATGACGTAAATAAACGCCTTTATGTAGCTATCTGAGTGAAATGGGTATGTAATAACCTTTCACCAATAGGTATGCTAAACTGTAGAAAATATCGTTTTAGTTTATTTGATTAGTATGATTTAAGATGTAGCCTTTAATTAAAGAAAATTGAAAAAGGCGTGTTTGTTGAATTACCGAATTTCTATAATGGATATTGAATTCGTGTTCATAAATAAGTATGCTGAACAAGCGCAATATATTGTGATTAAAACATTGTAGTTGAGAAATATTTACCAATAGATGTGTGTGTTTAGATTGAATAATGATAGTAGCATGGGATGCGCTTGATTTGTTGTACTTAAAGGCGAATTTATTTAAAGTAGACAATAGACAATACCATGTTACTATATATATATATATATATATATATATATATATATATATATATATATATATATATATAATTCAATAATCGCGTAAGAAAAACCGTAGTATACGCTTCCTTAATCAATTATCTGGATTCAATAAGTAAGCCTTTCGAAATATCCAAGTTAGTGTAATAAGATTGACATATTTTCGAATAACTCTTTTCTGTCTTCACCTCATCTTTATTTCTTTCCAAACTCGAACTCTTCATATCCTTCCACGACCTAAATTGTCAAATCATTGTCATAGTGACTCGCTGAGACTCGTGTAACTCTACACCAAAGACTGGGAGGTGACGTTGTCATGGTAATTGATATTGGGAAGGGTATCTCAATTTCAACAGAAGGGACAGAAGAAATAATACGCTCCTGTCATCTTGTGAAATGGAGGCTAGAAAATAACACACCACAGCTCACAAAGCACTGTACGTAAATATTCTTCTTGGGTTACGAAGTGAAGGTTGTTTGCCAAAGTTCTAATGACTGGATAAGTTTCTTTTGAATATTATATTCAATCTATGTAGCGCATAACAATCAATATGTAATTAAGTAAGACTTTACTTATATAAATAGTTTACACAATATAATTTGCTCTACGTAATAATTTGTCCAAAGTTGAAATTTATTGTTTTATTTAGTGCATTAAGTTACAATTTACATTTGACTTTAACCATTGAACTCTGACCTTAATGTTACCCTAGGTCATCGCAACATTATAGTTCAGTGGAAAGACATTCACATGTTAAGCACCTCTGATACTGCAAAAGCCGCAAGGTAATGAGTACTTGATTACCCAGTTACGGTAAATTCTCCACAAAAGATGATAAACTGACCGAAAGATCAGTATTGACAGTCTGCAGGTTGATAAAGAAAACAGTTTGTGACTTGCTTAGATAAAGGCCCGTATAAAGGCCCGTATCCATGCCAGGCAGTTCTCAGCCAACAGACTACTACAAACCAAGAACTATTGTCCCTTTCCTGCTCAAAGCGTTTATTTTCTTCCTTCAATCATGTGGGCCTAAATAATGTTGGGCATTTTTCGGGGGGGGGGGGGGGGGGTGATTAATGGATGGTAATCGTCCTGTGTTTAATAATCTTCCAGAGGCAGTTTTTGTATGGGTATAAGTGTCGCATCAGGGTAGTTGCCCGGGTGTAGTACGCGGAATATTTGTTCTGGGGTGTTTATCAAAATTTGATTTGTCCGGCAGTGGTAGTCCATAGGTCAGTTGTCCTCGGGGTAGTTGTCCTAGGGTTAGTTTGTCCAATGGTAAATGTCCGGATGTGCTATTCTACTTGTCCTGGGATGTGATTATGCTTACCTATCGGGTGATCCATCGACCGTGATGAAAGCTTTTTGCTCTGTTCTGCTCTGTGCTGCTGCTTCTAAAATCAGTCTTCTCCTTCTTGCTCTCTCAGCTTCCACCTCGGAGGGGAGACGATTAAAAAACGCTGGTGTTCTGAAGAAATAAATGATGTTAAAAGAAGACCAAGATGATAATTACTCTTTTCGTATTGGCTCGACAATAATGGGACCTATACTTATACCATGTTATATGATTTACTTGTTTCGTATGAGAAACACTAAGAAAATGCATAACTTACAAACATACGCGTAATGGCTCTAGGTGAGAGAGGTGTCAATAGACCAGTTCGTAGTTCGCACATGGTTCAGATGACCCCAACTATCAACAGATCTCTTTTTAAACATAGATAAATCCTACTTTGTGCCTTTTGCAATTATCACAGCTAATGGCGGTGATTCTTTGTTTGCCCTCTTGACAGGATTACTTCCACCTGTGTTCAAGAGAATGTATCACAGGTGCATGCATGAATAATGATTACATAACTTTCGTGATCATGTATCCAGTATTAGTCTCGGTATGTTTTACAATTTTTGTACAGGTGACCTTTATCTGCGCATGCGCAGATTGTATCTACGAATTAGTCTATTGGAACAGACATGGCGCACTACAAAATTTACGATCAATTGAACAATGAAACTGACTGCTCAACGAATGGATCTCATAAATAACTCAGCCTGAGGTAGCGAAATGAATTTTAGTAGCATGCAGACAAAAAAGTTCAAATCAAATGCTTCATAGGCTATGGAAGACAAAAACGCTTGGTATATCTTCTTCAAATGTTTTGGGTTTCGCATAGTATTTAAAATTATGATATTTGTATTGTTATTATAATGTGCTTGTTGTTGGTAATGGAAATAATTAAATGGAATTAATGAATGTGATACATTACTCAGAAAAAATATTTAGACACGCCATGTACACAAAAGACTATCAAAAACACATTTTCATTATGATTAAGAAAACACCTTCAATGAAACCTAGAACAATGACGAGATATCCATACACATAGCAAATTATGGGGGAGCGCAACATCATTATTTAACTAGATACGAAATTGTTTTTACAGGAAAGCGTGAAAAATCATTTCGATCGGATATAACGAGGCTTTATCAATTGATGCATTTGACAGCAACTCAATCAATTTGTTCCAATTTCGAGACGAATGTTTTTCACCTCTGTTGTTATACTAGAATAGCTTTTCTGTTATATTTCATACTTTCGCAATTTAATAGTTACTTCCCGATGAGTGATCGGGGCTCTTAATCTATGTTGACGGATAACGTTCTCATGCTCCTAGCGCTCCACCGCTCTTTCTTCTTCATGAAACATTGTTTTTTCTATTAAAGATACCGTAGCTGTGACGTCAAATCGTGATGAATAATTCAACAGGGGGATTGGACAGCCAAGGCCTTTCTGAGCACAAGTGGAGATACGATACTCACTCAACATGGAAAATAAGTCCCTATTGACGGAAATTGACGACGTTTCTACAGAATCAAAAAATGTTAACCCCTCATTTTGAAGAATTTGAAGAATTAATTAATTAACGTGATAGCTAAACGTGAGCGTTTTATATTTCCGTTCATGAAATAAAACACACCTGGGGGAGGAAAGAAAAAGATAGTTAGCCAAAAACATCCGCCTAATCTGTGTTCGAGGATGAACTTGAATGGTTTTGGAAAGACGCATCAAGGAAGGCTATCGATATCAAGTAATTCGATACCTCATCGATGAGTTTCATATTTTAATCTATCGCTTTACTTGATGGGTAATAGTTACGTCGTAATTAAACAAAATATATATTAAATTCTGATACCATAACTAACCGCATAAGTCTTGTTTGTAGCTCGATGAAATTACCATTTAACTGTATCGGTGCAATTCACTGTCAAGTAGGAATATCATCATTTTAGGAAAGGTTTACTTCTAGTATTCACGCTAACGTCCGTTTTTTTCGCTCCCTCAGTCGAATAATAATTCTGTCGAATAGTGAAGAGCTTATATTATTTAGAGTGTATCTCTTGACTGCCACAAATTGTCCAGCTGCAAACCCATCAGAGGACATCCAAAATGAAGATCCTGTCAGAGTCTTGTATTAATCCTTACAAATTGTAATCCCCTCCCTCTCTCTCTCTCTCTCTCTCTCTCTCCCTCTCTGTCTCTCTCTCTCTCTCCCTCTCTGTCTCTGTCTCTGTCTCTCTCTGTCTCTGTCTCTCTCTCTCTCTCTCTCTCTCTCTCTCTCTCTCATTCTCCTTTCCTCTATGAGATTGACCATGAATTCATATTTTACAGTGCACTCTGCAATCGATCGAAGTTAAAGTGCTGGAAAGGTCATGCAGGTCACAAATAGATTTGTCAAGTGTGTAGATTTTATGCTCTTGATAGCGATGGCAAAATAGATTACAATCGCTCTAGAACTCATGAATTCTAGGGAGAAATTCACATTTGGTATCTAAGTACATTCTGGCGACCAGATGGGATCCCTTTGTGGTACACCGTCGACTCGTTTGATACTGCATGTAGAAGCTATACACCCTTAAGATATAGCACCATAAAGTTATTATCATCACAATCCATATAATTATGTACACTTTAGGAAAAAGTGGGTGAATAATATTTCCTTTTTATTTTGGTTAGTGTAGTTATAATGATATTATTATTATCATTAGCATCACTGTCATTGTTATTATTTTCATCTTCGAACCCCGGCCGCGTCATACCAAAAGACGTTAAAAGACGGGAGTTGCTGCTACCTTGTGTTTGGCGTTCAACAATAAGGGATAGAGCAACCTCGATCTGGCGCTGCTCAGTGGCTGCCGGGCTCACGATCAATTGGGCAAAAAGAATTTCCATTTTTGGTTTAACTTAATAAAATTTGGAGTGGACTTTAAAAGATTATTATTATTATTATATCTAAGTTGACACTGGAATATGACAAACATTGCTTCAGCCCGCTCAAAAATCCCTAATCCAAACTCACCAGCACCAACCTCTGCGTCAGATACAGATGAACTGAAGGGGATGCTAGCGGTCGACATTTGAGAAAATCCGCATGAGCGAGAGAGAAAATATGCATGTGTGATGCGGTGCGTATGGGTGATGTACACCCGAGCATAAAATAGATTAACTTCTCCATAATTCACGATACCTCTAGGATGTCAGTTCAATCATGTGAAGGAGGAGATGAGAGAGGAGGTGAGGGGTAAACAGAATGCAGGTCAGGGGTGTGGCAAGATGGTAGGTGGGGATGGTAGAGGGGGCTTTCTCCTTCGCTACCCCCCCCCCTTTTTTTTTAATGCAGCTAATGATATTATCTTTCTCGCTGTTACAATGAATCTACGATCCTCACAATTGTTATTTTGATTCATAATAACATTTTGAAAATGCGTGAAGATGGTAGGTGGGAATGTTGAAGGGGTTCTTATTTTGCTACTTCGCCCCCTACAAAATATGCAAGGACTGATTATCTCTCCCACTATCACAATGAATTAATGGTACTCGTCCTTTTGATTCATACAATCAGGTAATTCTTGTTCATATAGTCTTCCTCAGTAGTATCTAAAGGCCCCCGCAAACATTAAGACCCGCCCACGGCAGGATTTGAAAGAAATAACAATAATAGTGAATTTGATTTATTGTTTTATTTTCATATGACCGATGGAATCCTTATGACTATTTGATGATAACACAATTATATTAATGTTCTCAAACCATTGTCATGTATACTACGAGTAAAGTCAGTTGCGGTTTCAAATTGACAACGATGAGACACTATTTTCAGCACTTATAATACTTATACAATTATAAATCTGTTTCTGTGATTTGATAGTGTATAGTTTTGCCTTTCAGGATGGGTATGCAATATAAAAACGGGCCGGTGTAGATGTACTTTTATTGTCCATTCTCGTTAATTTATCTAAAACTAGTGTTGACAGTTAAGCAACTCTGCCTGCATGCACCAGGGACGAACATATTTTCTTCTGTATTAGTGTGATACATAATATTCATCAGTACATCACTATACACGATGAGTGACGGAAGCAGATAATTGTTTTATCATACGAATACATTATTAAATCACGCGTAATATTGCCTCCATCGCGATATATACGTGCTTATAAGTCTCGCTCACTATGGACCGTACTTTTAAGAGCATTAGGGGATACGTAATACATTCTAAGCTAGTTTTCATTCTATGAAGGATGAAATTGACATATATTCGTGATCACTTACGCCACTGTGTGCACGCTATTCCATTAGCGAGAAAATTCAACCAAGCATATAATTAAGCGGAATAATTTTGGCTGATATTTAACTTGTCAATATTTGTAATATAATTATAATTATCATCATCATCATAATAACATTATTATCATCATCGTCTCATCATTATCACAATAATAAATCATTTCAGTGGTTAAATCAATCATTAGCGTATCTTAAGCTGATTGAAGAACCATTGTGAAGATAAAATATTGAATTGGCTAACAATGTAAACCTTTTTTTATTTCTAAGCGCCCTTTTAATGACCAGAAATACTTAAGTTCATTCGTATTTCCCACGCATCCTTCATAAACGTTTGAAGTATCTTTTCCTCCAATTACTCTCAGACTGTCTCTCCATACTGAAGAGCTTTGACCTGAACCAGTACTCCATTGAATCAAGTGCTCATAATGAGAAATGCTATCCAATATGTAATATCTATTTTTGACCCAATTTGTTCGTTTCTAGCATCGTTTTTACTTTCTGTATTCTAAATTAGGGTTTTGAATTCTGTATGCAATACATTTGACTCAGAAACTGAAGTATGTCTGACTTTTACCGATCAAAATAGAAGCATTGCTTAACTGCGTGTACACTATGGCCTTGATAAACCGTTTGGTACAGCAAAACAAATTATATATTTATATAGAGCAAATGAGATGGCATTTTTAGTTCTTGGTTAATGTTTATCATTGGTACAATCATAGGCCAAATTTGTCGGATACAGACATTAATTATTATTATCCAGATCTAACCCAAAGGAAGCTTAAAGTCACAGGTATATACTTGACTTCTCTGTCCCTCTTTCCTCTCTCAGGTCTTTCGTTCTCTCACCCCCCCCCCCCCCTCCCACCCCTATCTTTGCTCTTCCTTCCCCCTCTCTTCTCTCTCTCGCAATATCTCTATATCCCTTTATTATTTTCCTTCCCCTCTCTTTCACCATCCCACTCTTCCTCCAATCCATTCGATTGCACAATCACACTTTACATTGTATTTTGACATATTTGTCGCCTGCACAATTCCATCTCTTAAGTCAAGAACATGAGGTACTCATGCATGAGCCTGAAATCAAATCGCTCTCTACCGCTGCCTCTTCTTACAATTCTAGAAATATTGTCTCCCTTTCTTTTTTACGATATTCATACGTCCCTGCAGAGAGCTTTTTCCGTGCTTGCAATACATAAAGAGAGGCATAGTATTACCCCTGTTCCGCATCTTCTTATTCTGGTCGCCGAAATGATATTAGAAATCAACCAGGCGAAAGAGGATTAAACCGTGTCATGAGACGCAGCTCATAGACTCACTTCAAGGCAAGTCTGATCATATTCGTTCGGCGAATTTTAATTCAATTTCACTAAATATTGTGGTCTATTAGACGATCACACTGACTATGCCGCAATTTATTCCACCTCACTGACTTAATCAATGCGTAAAAGCCATTTGCATTAGTCTTGATAATGATCTAGATCGTATTCAATAAACTAGATCAATGACCGAGATAACACTACATTGAGCAATGTTCGAAAGGAAGAATCTTTTGATGTGTACGCGTGGGTGTGAGACTATTTAGTAATAATTGGACTGAAGAAGGGATCGGTAGTATCTTCGGAGAAATATTGGTCTCGAAGGACACCGATGTTAATAATTGAAGATGGGGGGAATATGTGAATTACCGATATTCCTTGATCCCTAAATGCGACTAGAGACAGACAGACAGACATACAGACAACAGAAAAAGAAAGGAGAGACACTGAGAGTGAGGGAGAGAGAGAGAGAGAGAGAGAGAGAGAGAGAGAGAGAGAAAGAGAGAGAGAGAGAGAGACCGCGAGACTGAGGGAGAGACAGAGAGACCGAGACAGAGACAGGGGAGAGATGGAGTTAAACACGAACACTAATATCGTCCTTTATAATCGTTGTGAAGTGATTAGAAGAAGTGCTTGTTGTCAATAAAATATACTTCATGGAAAACCGATCATGTAAATTAATTATCGAGAAGGGGGAAACCCCACATCATACAGTAAGCGCTCTTATAACTTATAGGAAGCACGTACCAGTTACAGTATACAAAAAGATAGGGTGATCGGCAGAGGGTGGGGGCGGTGCAATTTTTATTTCATGTTCTTAATTTCTCCCCTCATTTTTCCTGTCGTCTTCTCCCCGCCTGCTCTTTGTCACGTTACCTCTTATCATAACCTCTATCTATCCCTCTTTCATCTTGCATTCTCAATCCTTTCTCTTTCCCGATTTCCCTTTTTTTACCAAAAATGCCCGTGCCCCCCCCCCCCCCCAACACTGAATCATCAGCTAGTCAATATCCAAATGAAAAATCTCACTGTCCAGTGATCACATGTTTTTCCCCGTCTTTTCAAACCGTGTCAATATATTGAGTGCATCTGCTTTCTTCTTCACCTTCCTCTTGCTAGTCAATCAATTTGAGCTTGACCCAGATTTAATGAAAAGATGACCTTGGCATAGTACCATGAATAACCTACGAGATTGTGCATTTGAACCTAACTAAAGCACACGTTATACATGCACAGTATCTCATATGAGTTATGTAGAATTAATTATCTGGCATCCATGTACTATTACGAAGACCAGAATGATATTGGGGGAAAAAAAATCACATAATAATATACCTCAGGTTTTATTGCATAAATTTATGATTTGAGCACTTCAATCACTTAGCCAGAATCAATGATATCAAATCAAATAAACTCAAATCATTTCATCATCTGCCAAGCACTATAATCCACTAATATTATACAAATAGTACACAGCAATGAGGGCATTAGTAAGAATTACCCATACAAGGTACAATTTTGGAACAGTCTAACACGCCCGAGGCGGTAGCCGAGGGTGATTGGACTGTTTCAAAGGTTCCGGGTGTGGGTAATTTTACTAGTGCTTGAACAAAAAGTTGTGTATTATTTGTTTTTATAAGATTATGTTTTATTTGTTTTATAAAATGATGTTTTATAACATGATTTTACTAATAACCGTCCATTATAATTAGATAATGAACGGTCATTATCCAAATTACGCGTTAGGCAAAAAAATGCCTGATCACGTATACGCTTTCAACCAGTCATTTGATAAGGATCAAACGTCATCATCTTAAACAATATCTTAACTCCTTATATAACTTAACGCCCTTCTTGCTCTCTCAGCACATGTCTTACCTGTTGAGACCTCTCTTGCCTTTGACGCAGTATTTGCAGAAGAAGATGACAGCGATTACCAATGCCAGACCCCCGGCTACTCCGGCTACTAGAATCACTATGGTCAGGTATGGGTTCTCGTGAAGGGCGTTTGTGAAGGAGCCAGTGCCACGCTGTTTAAAGAAAAAAAAGATAAATCATTTTATTTATTTGGACATTAATAAATGTCAAGCCCAAGCACTTTAAACGAACTTTCATCAATTCTAATCTTGAAGTATTCTATTACATTTCCAACAATCTTGATTGTTTTTCGATTCGATAGTTTTCTTATATGTCAACGACTTACAAAGAGCTGGAGCACTCGCTACCAATACTAATTGATAATCTACTATGTCAGTCTAATCGGCTGAAATATTATACGAATCATGATCAGTTAAAACGTTCACTTCAAGCATTCTTTTTTAAACGATGATCCTCACAATTATGTGCATGCTTTTCCTGACAATGCCATACGTTACAAAAAATGACTATACTCAGATACAAGCTTATGACCAGGGACATGCACGGATTCGTAGTGGGAATTCATTAACAAGCCAAGGTTATTTACAGATTTTAGAGGTGTTTTAATGACACGTGTCAGCTCCAAGAGAGGGCCTTGAAATATACATTATACAGATTATTTGTTTATATCATTTCCTGTGAGATTTTCAATAGTGTGGGTCCAACGTAATAGAGCAGATAAAAAGAATTCGATCCACAATGTTGGAAGCCCTATTACTTCTCAGCCCTACTGAAAGTTGATTTGATATTCTAGTTTCATAGAGTGTACAGTTAGACATTGGACATCAACGACTGCGATCAACATTATATAGTAGTCCTTTACGCCTATTTCTTTGGTTGCTTTGTTTCGTTTTACCTGACTGCTAAGAAAGCAAGTGTTTGCTGGTAAATAAGCAAAGAGAGGACCGACTGTTTAAAGTCCTCTCCGAGGGAGGGGGGCACTAGCGCATCGATTTGGTTTCAAACCCGGGACCTCCAGGTTACGAGACCGCTGCTCTACCACTGAACCGACCACCACGCTTTCTATCTCCTTGTTTATTTCACTTTAATTAAAAATATATTAACGCAAGAAATTAATATGTCACCATGTTTTGCTATATGCAGTCATGTACAAGTAAGTGAATACTGACTATAAAATCATTAATTAAAAAACAGAACAAATGAAATGGATAGTATATGTCATCATACTACGTTAACAATAGACGGAGAGGAAATGCAAGAAACCCGCACGACTATCAAAATCATTTGCTGTCAGTTTGATAAACTCAAACGGTCATTCACACTGTCACTTTAGTTTTCTCAGAAAAAGTTCGTTTTCTACAACAGTCCCATGCACTTATAAATATGTATGTTGAGAGGGTCACTAGAGTCAAGATTCGTCAAGTATACCCGCTTTCAGGGAAGCTGAGCTTGTCAGTAAGGATATAACTCTATCTCTCCCTCCCTCTTTCTCACTCAATCGTTAGTAGAAGATAGAGGAGGGAACTAGAAATTGTTACGTCACGTCCGTTTGAGTATAACTTACATGAACAACATAAATCATGTTTCGTAATATACGGGCATCACGGAGGGCTATGACGTAACAAACAAAATAAAAAAGACAACAAAGACAAAAAATATGAACTACTCTGTACAATATCTACGGACAACATTGTATCACAAAGGGGTGTATTATAGGTAATAAGAACGTGCTTTACAAATACAAATTGCAACTTCATCATTAATGGCTTAAGCAAACCTAATCCAAATAATAACAATACAATGAGGCAGCATGTTCAGTTTGGGAATGTCTGTTCTCGTAGATCCCATCTGCCTTGATAGTTATGGACTAGAAGAATATTTATGATATCAGAACAGAGTGAAAAGTATGGATTTAATGTATTCAAAGGATTTTACCGCGCATTCGGTAGTTGTACTATGCTTAATCACTATAACGATATTAATTCTGTTTATTTCACGAATGATGGCAAACTTAAACAACATTTTCCATTCCTTATCCATACTCGACATAATAGAAATGGTATTACTGAATACATTTCCATGAATGTGATCGAACGTGCACGTTTTTTTGCTTTATTCAATATCTACACATTTCCTCAATTAATAAGTCTTCCAAAAAGCCGAGACGTGCCTGTATTATCATAACTCGGATGTCATGAAATATGACGTAATCAGTACAGTATACATCGGACACTGTATTTTCATGGGCATAATCAACGTGTCTCTATCCGTATCATGTTGATCTATTTTCATTTTCACTCTCATCCCTTCCCCATTTCCCTGTCTTTCAACCTCTCTCTCTATCTCTCTCTCGCTCTCTCGTCTTCATATTGTATTATATCTCCTTTAAATCATTTTTTTTTCTTCAAAAATCATCTCCTTCCTTATTCGTGCTTTTATTTCACAACTTGCAATCAAAAGAAACCACAACCTCAGCAAAATTGTGTGTATGACCATTTCCCTTCAAATGACTTTTGTCTTTTTCATTTGCTGTGTTTCTGAACTTTTTTCTTTCTTGGATGCATTTCCAACCTAATCGCATGATTTACACACGTACACACGTTGTTATGACTTTCCATCCAATTCAGTACCCGGATATTCAGTAAATATTTAAGATGTATGAAGTCTTGATCACAAGCCTTAGGAAACGGAAGCCAAACGCACATGCTCCCATAAACGCTATTCATGTCTTCTAATTTGCACCAGGTTTTATCAAAGGCTGGCTCTGACGTCAAAGGCGTGTTCGCGATCCTTGAGCAAATTGTGATTTATGATTCCAAGATTTCATTCGTCTTGGTAACATGATAAAACTTCTCTCAGCTAGACGTAATCAGTTCAACTGTGTTGATGAAAACAAGAAGAACTCGCCGCCAACACGCAGCAAGATGGGATAAATTGTGGGTTGGGTGAACGTATCCCTTCTTCTTTAACAGGTGAGAATATTGACACCACCTTGATATGGATAACCTGAGTTACCACTGATATAGGGGTCCTTGCATGTCTTGAGAGAGAAAGCTCAATAGCGATTAAGCTTCGCGTTCTCTGGATACTTACCGTGACTTCTAGATAATCCCTTCAATAGGATAGCCATCTCAATAAGGGTGCACTTTTGGGATGGGGCAGATGAGAGGGGTGATTCATAAAATGCAAGATAGCAGAGATACAACATGTACCAAGTATTTGGGCCGAGACGGCATCAGATCGCTGTCCTCTTTTACCTTTCTTCTTCTTCTTCTTCTTCTTATTCTTCTTCTACTACTTCTGCTTCTTCTTCTTCTTTTTCTTCTTCTTCTTCTTCTTCATCTTCTTATTCTTCTTATTCATCATCCTCCTCCTTCTTCTCCGTCTTCTCATTCTTCTTCTTCTGCCCTTTTTTAAATTTTCTTCGTTCCTTTTCCGTCTCTCCATTTCTTCTCATATCTATGTTTCTTTCCGCGATTTTCTTTCTCTAATTCTTCCGTCACTGGTGTGGGGTACCCCCATCCACCTTTGATACTTTTTGCATGTCGCCATTCCGATCGTATTCCCCCGGAGGGGAGGGGAGAGGAGTGGTGTTTGGCTGATAACAGCTTCATATCTACTGCTGATGACAGTCTAACATCTACATTAGCGAACACCAGAGTGTGATTGATTTGAAGCAGAGAAAGCCTTTTTCTGAAAGACGTTCGATAATAAATCATCCAAATATTTATGCCACTAAAAATATCAAAGGTGGCAAGTACATAGTTCCAGAAAAATTGAGTTAAAATGTCAAAAAGAAATGCGTGAAGACTATAACTGAATGTGACCCTCATGATCGATGAATTATATGTATAGTACGGAGTATATTCAAATATACAAAAATCATCTACATTTTCCCCAGTGGAATTGAAAAACATAGTTGTCTTTGGCATAGGGTACTACATTAATAATTCAGTATCACACGTTTTGAATCAAAAGTTTGTCACTGCGATTGCAACTCATTTGTACTTCTTTACCGAAGGGAAGAAAGGCAATAGGTGCAAAAGGTAGGTATGGAAAGTTTTTGTAATCTAATTCCTTCACAACGTGTTTTATACTTACTCTCGATGATACTAATAAAGCTGTAGAATAACTTACCTCCTCACAACAATCGATCCGAGTGTCCTCCGATTCCATTTCATCAAGTAGTTTTGATGGTAGTAGTCAATGTTAAAGTTCTAATACTAACGGTGGTGGCTGTCCGAGAGCTTTATACGCCAGTGACATACAACACCCAAAAACTTATTTCTTTCAATTTCCCTTAATGTTCAAAATAATCGATGCAAAGAATAGCATTACGTGGTGATTGTTTAGCAGAACTGAAAGCGTCCGACTCTCAGCACCCGTCTTAGTTGCTCGGAGTTGAATCTTTAGTTTTCAAGAATGCACTTCGCTCTTTCTTCGTGAAAGGATTATCTTGCGAATGGGTGAAAGTCTTAATAATCGTCATCCATCACTGAGTGGCATATTCCTCTAGTTCAAGATAAATATATAGCAGAATAGAAATAGTCTCAACGTCTGGAAATTGGAAAAGTATATTGTTTCTGCGGTGAGAAGTTGTTTTTAGCAGCCTAGGTCATACGATATTGTTCTCGAAAAGAAGAAGTCGTATACATAAATCCTATCGATCTCCTCTCATGGACTAAACAATAGAAATAGAATTAAGTCCGACAGTGTGATCCTTCACGATGTCCTCAAGAAGCATCACAACAGGAAGGACATTCTATTCGTCGATTCAAGTTTGTTGAAGCACCACATGAATTCTATTTCCGACTTGGCAGAAGCAATGGCGGACTAAGTGACACGAAAAGAAGAAAGTGTGTAGATACAGCTGATAAACGCCAACAATAATATTGACCGGATGTCTCATGATCATATATTGACAAGCAACATCGATGAGCCATTATGGGCGTCAATGTGGACAACTGTCGATGGTCACTGTTTACACGGTGGTATCAGAGAATGAGATCAACAGACTAAACACCAAGCAGCCAAAGTGATCGAGGAGTGAATCTTCTACATTTCTCTCTCACTTTCTCCTCGAATCCTAGTCTCCTGCTTGAATACTTGATAAGCCTTGATGAAAAATTAATTGATGATTTGGGGTAGTTTTTGTTTGTGTATCCCTCTGCCCGTGGGCCCCCGCTAAGCTCCACGCAGGGAGTCCCAGTGCGCGTTCATTGGGATCTTCCTACGCTTCTATATAGAAGTGAACACAAAACATTGATGTAGGGGTAAGAGAACACCCAGAATGGGAATATGATTCCTTTTTAGAGTTACTTTCATTTGTCTCTGATACAGGGGCTTATTAACATTTGACATTTTCCCATGCTTCCAATGGAGAGAAAGGTTGCGGTAGAGCTTAGCCTCCGGTGGGTTCGATTAGCATTAGACTCATTACTAGTCACCTACCATACTCAAGTAAAAACGTTAAGGGATTTAATGCGCAGACGGTTATACGTGCTCCCATCACGCACACATTGTTATGACGTCAATACAAGCCATGCATTGCCTTCCGAATGAGTACACATGTGGGTGTGCGTGTATGTTGGTGTGTGTGCGTGTGTATTGTGTGTGAGTGTGCGTGTGTGTGAGAGAGGAGGAAATGGGGTCAAAATTAATAGGCGCAGAGTGCCTTTGATGATGTCTTAGTCACTCAGTGGATATTGATTATATAAGTGTATACATAACAAGAGAGAAATAATGAGAGAGGGGCGGAAAAGTTAGTAATAATAACTTCTTAGATTTTGAATAAGAGGAGAAATGTCCTCTTAATTAGTGACTTTAAGTGTTTATTACACAAACACAGTTTATGTTTGATAATGCACCCAATGAAAGAAGTAAATTGTAAGAAGCACTTTATTGGAAAATAATGAATACGAAACAATAAGTATCCGTATCATGACGGTGCCCCCCCCCCCCCCCCCCCATTTCAGGGAAAACCCCTTTCAAGCACTACACCCATCCCAGCCCCGAGAACCATGACATCTACCCTACGAAAACTAATTAGGGGATAAATAGATTATGATGTAGTTGTCCAGGGATATTATGTCCTCTGGTAACTATAAAAGAGGGATTTTTACGATGGGTGGTTTCTCGGCGATAATAGTCGAAAGGGTATTTCTACAAAGGCCTATTTCTAACAAACCAAAAATTGTCTTCCAATAATAATAATAATGATAATGATATTGATAATATTGATAATGATAATAATAATACAATAATAAAAATGATAATAATAATGATAATAATAAAGATAATAATAATGAAAATAATAATATGAATGATAATATTAATCGTAATAAAAATAATGATAATAATGGTATTATAATAGTAATATGAAAGTAATAATTATGTTTACCCATCAGCACCAGCTGTTCTTTCTGAGGGCCATGCAATCACTACCCAAGAAATTGCTAGGTACCAATAGTGAGGAGTGGCACATGTGGACTTGTCTCTTTACAAAAGCAATTAGTGCTGTTGTTGTTTTTATTTCCGTATAAAAAATAATCATATACAAATACAAATATACGGCTGGTTGCCCATATTCAGCTGCAACGATAATTGTTGCTGCTGGTCTTCCATGGGGCCAGTTTACAATATACAAAATATACATAATATTACAAATTAAAAAAATAAATAATTACAAAGTATCAGTCGAAAACTTAATACAAATACTTAAAGGAAAAAACAAAAAACAAAAACAAAAAAACAAAAAACAAAAAAAACAAACATCATATAAACATACATAAAGAGGTACTACAACAAGGTGATTATAGTCTGTTTAGGTTAGTCTTAAAGGTGGCAAAAGTGGGTAGTTGACGCAAATCAAGGGATAATTTATTACATTGAAAAGAAGCTCTGTACACAAAAGTTCTTTTACAATAATTAGTTCTTGGCTTAGGTAAAGAGAGATTATGTGCATTACGGAAGGAGTATGGAGAGGGTTTAAACTCAAATATGTCTTTCAAATATTCAGGGGTCATGTTATGTAATGTTTTGTAAGTTAGGAGTCATAAATGGATTTGTTGCCTTTCACGTATCATTTGCCAGGCTGACATTCGAACCCATTAACCCTTGGATAAAGAGTCAAGTGAATGAACCACTACACCACAAGACCTCGGGATCTTGGTCATGAATAGGTAACATGTTCTAATAAAATTGTGTGAGGGTAGTAATTTACGGTGTTTTGCAAAAATATTTGTGTGTGGCATGCAATTGCTTGATGTTTTTTATTTAGCCTGACTCCTATAAAGCGTGATGTGTTTTTTTTTTAATCATCGAGGGGACCGACGGCTTTAAGTCCTCTGCGAGGGACTTGGTAATTACATTCATTTCTTACCAAAGTCGTATCGACTTTGCTGATTCGCATCCGGGATCTCCCGGTTATGAGATTACTGCTCCACCACTGAGCCATCGCACCTCCATTCATTTTTTTTTCTCCATGTTTATACTCTTGCTGTTATATAGAAATTCTAAAAACCGGTGTGTGTAATACAAAAAACGAGGTTTTAGCATCAAACGGACGTCGCTAACTGAAGTAATCAAAGAGTTTGGCCTATTTCATTTTTCAACTTGAAGGAGAAAACAAGTCTTGAATGATTCCGAACCACGTCAACCGACGAAGTCTTGCAAGATCGAGTACTCCTCTTTAAAGAAGAAATTCATTACCCTACAAGTGAAATCTATACATTTCATTTCTTACAAAATTTGAACGGATTTTATTTTTCCATGTTCATTACTCTTTTGCTTTGTTCCAAATAACCAGATTGTGATTGAAATGCGAGGGAGTGGGTGAAATTCACTATGGGTTAAAAGCAAGAATCCTACTTGTTCGTCTGATTTCCCACTGGAACTCTCAAATACATTAGAAGATTACAAGCTCATATCACTCATCCAAGATTTGATAGCAAGACCTGACGGTGCCAGGTAAAAATGTCAGAGGTAAAAATGTCAGAGGAAAAAATGTCAGAGGAAAAAATGTCAGAGGTAGAAATGTCAGAGGTAAAAATGTCAGAGGTAAAATTGTCAGAGGAAAAAAATGTCAGAGGTAAAAATGTCAGAGGTAAAAATGTCAGAGGTAAAAATGTCAGTCGTAAAAATGTCAGAGGAAAAAATGTCAGTCGTAAAAATGTCAGAGGTACAAGCAAAAAAATTAGCAAAGTATTTCGTACATGTCCTGAGGATAATACAATGTGGAAAATAGATTTTGAAATTTATTTTGTTGTGATCAGGCTTGCATATAATGAATGTCTAACATTTTTTGATATTTTGATTTGGTTGATTTGTTAATGTTTGTGAAACGGACCGGTTTGGCCGGTGGCAGCCTGCAACATAGCCCGTGTAACGTTCCAGAGACGAACAAAGTCCAAACGAAGAAATGAAAATTCTCGACAAAAGTCAAGTGTTAAAGTGAGTAGTGCATTTAGTACAAAATAGTTACATAATCCCGAGGAATCACGAAAAGTTACATATAAGGGCTGGGCGCCCCGAACTCTGCTAAAGCTTTAGCACCTCATGGCGGCAAAGGAAGTGGAGTAAGTATAAGAAAATCAAGAAGTCGCTCCGAAAAGTAAAAAGTCGCTCCGAAAACTAAAAACCCGCTCCAAAAAGTAAAAGACTGTCTCGATTCAGAAGCTCATCCCCATTTTAAACTCTCCGACAATTATAAATAACGATGTCATTTAAACCGAACCTCTGCACAGCGCGCACTTCTCTAAAATGTGATGGTGCGGTTGGCATTTAAAGATAAAGTTGAGTTCTGGTCTTGCGAAGTTGCATTGTGAAAGAAACGGTGTGGAAGCAATCAGAAAAGGTTGATCATCTAGCATAAACATGTAAGTATTGGTGTGTAGTGCAAGGTTTTGGAGTCATCAAAATGATAAAATCTTTGGCCCAGTCTTGGTAAAGTAACAAGCACTGTACACAGAAAGATATTGATATGGGACTACACAAACATATTATGGCATACAAATCGGGCCTCATTTTAAAGCTGTTACTTGTCATATCTGGGATATGAAGTCATTTGAAATAGATTTTCAAGGAATAACTTTTTTCTTTGATGTTCTTCCACACTTGCATAATAAGAATGATAACAAACGCTCACATATTATTGTTCACTTTTCCCCAGAACTCAACCTTCTCTTTAATTGATGTAACGTGGGCGGCTTTCTGCTTTGTATCGGAGTAACAATTAAAGCTGCTTATTGATTTTTCCCAGACTATTTTATACCGCAATAGTAATCGACAATATTTTGATTGCAACGTGCGCACTTCGGGAATGTGATGGTGCGGTTAGCACTGATAACATGGCTTTCTGCTTTGTTTCAGCATGGACCCTACTTTCAGAGTATCAAAATACCAAGCCCACAAGAAAGTGGAATTGTCGGAAATATGCATTTATTGGAAATTACATATAATAGTAGTCATTGCCACGCAGTTGAAATGTCCAACAATCTTCAAAAGTGAAGGAGAAGTGGGGGGGGGGGGGGGGGGAGGTTCATAGATATCTGATCCTATTTTGTGGGCTGTACTGAATTTTCTTTTTATTTAATGATTACACCGTGGAGCGACAACTCAGCCTATAAAACATGGCCAAACTTCTCGATTTTAGAAATCTTTCCCCCCAGAAGTTTGCTCAGTGTACCAGTACCATTTGCTTATACAAAAGCATAATATACCGGTAAACAAATATTGAATAAGGCAGACTAATGGGACATGCATGGTTGCTACTCCGAGTTTCATGCCTTGCAAGCGATCATCAGACAATAATTGATAGCATTCGTCAAAGTACATGATTCCTCTACAACCTTGGTATAAATACGCTCAAAATAAGAGCTATACAATACATGTATATCCGTCCTCCATTTATTACCACAATTACTTTACTGGGGCCTCCAGCCTTACAAGCTTGCTTTCATGTAGGTCCCATCATATTTCTCTTAGTTAAATCACAAATTCATATTGACCACTTATCTTTGTTATTATTATTTGTTATTAAAATAAAAACAATTTTGTACTTCATTTGAAATAAATGTATGTTTATGAGAAATATGAAAATAAATGAAATGAAATGAAAAATAAGACTACAATACCTGAATGCAATGCAATAAGAATACTCATGAGTAATTCCAATTGTATTTTT